TGTATATATGTATGTACTGGGTAATTAATTGTCTGGGTATTTTGAGAGTGGTGTTTACTATAGCTATGTATCTAGAGATGGGAGTGGTGGAGGGGAAATTAAAGGAGCTAGCTTTGTAGTTACGATTGGATGGATGGATGGGTTTGGTAGGAGATGAGGGTTTTGTGAGTGTGTACCTATGCACAGATCAGATGGGCATCATGGATACTTACCCATGTTGTGGGTTGCGTATGTTATAGTTTGTATATAGGTGGGTAGTTCTCTTATGTATATGTGTAACTTGAGTAGGTAACTAGCGGTAATAGCATATTTCTATCATGCATAAGCACTCGATCTGTGAATGGTAAATTTTATATGGAGGGGTAAAGTAAGGAAGGTAAGGTAATGAAATCGGTAGATTAGATCTAGAGAGAAGAAGCAAATAGAAGTAATAGAAGTGAGACTTTACATTCCAAAGATGGGAGGCGAGATGGGATACTGTGTTATGAATGTGGATGAAGGAGGGAATCATGTGATTGCTAGTTTACTTGAGAGAGAAGTTTAAGGTTGTAATTATGTACGAAATAGTTATTCAGTGTCACTTTTTATAGATGGTTTGCTTTGGTGATCATTTGGTGACCCTTTGGTGGGGCTTGAATGAAGTGAAGCTTTGAGCCCAGCCACAAATATACTCCGTTACCTTTGTCTATACATGTATATCTACATGTTTACTCCGGTATATATCTATTGAGGTGTGAGAACCGAGGCTATACTGTAGATGATTTTCCCCTGAATGATATTGTGATATATTCTTTACGGAGTACTCCGTCCATACGGTTTAAACCTTCATGTATGTTAGCTACCCTACCTTCCCTACCCTATGTTATAAAGTTAATGTTAATGAGATGATGCCGAGTAGGGCTAGTAGGTGCGTAAAACATGGATACCTAAATAATAATCTTGTAATAAAATCTATATTCATAGTATATATTCATAGTATATATTCATAGTATATATTCATAGTACTGGGTATTGATATCCATATTCCTATTCCATTCATCATTCATCATTCACCATTCAGCATCATTTGAATCACGTTCACCTACTACGGGTAATTTTTGATCCAACCATCTTTCCACAATCCTTCTTTATCTACCTTCCTAGACACTGGATATTGGATCGCTTCTTTAGCTTGGCTGAGTTAGTCTCTTCTTCTTCTTCTCTTAGTGCCTTTCCAAAGTCAATTCTTTGGAAGGCTGTATGATTCAATCAAGTTGATTTTGATTTTGATTTTGATCTTGCATTTGATTTTGGATTTGGAATTTCATTTCTCATACCATCATCCAACAAAATCTCACCAAATCAAACGCTTTTTCTCACGGCCAAAAATACACCCACTTACTTACTACTTGCCACTACCTACTGTACCGTACTGCAAAAGGAACTGAAACCACCCACCACAACCAACCACCAACCACCAACCACCACTACTCACTACTCACTACTACTACTACTACTACTTTACCGACCGATCAATTCTTCCTTCAAATCAACCATCACCTTTTTCAAATAATTAAAATTCAAATACAATTAATTTTCAACTTCTCTACTTCCTCTTTTTTGATCCTTTTTAATATTTTCATGAATCTCTCCTATTCCCAACAAATCCAAAAATTTCATGAGTCAAAATGACAGACGCATGCATTGTATGTTTAGAAGATCTGGAGGTTCAACATGAAGTTGGGGTCCAGGTCCCATTTCCAGATGATGCTGCAGTGGTGCAAGACCGGCAAGACCCCCAAACCATTCCCCATGATGATCTCGAGGGGGGCAAAGCGAGCAACGCACGAGAATCCCATTCCGATTTCGTCGACATTGTAAAGGATCCGGATCATCAACAACTTCATCATTATCCTGCGGAAATCAACAACCCTCTTTGCGTGGCTCAGATTAAACCTTGTGATCATGTTTTGCATGATCATTGTTTGAGGGCATGGAGTCAAAAGGCGAATAGTTGTCCGATTTGTCGAGCGAGCTTTAATTTGGTCGTGGTACTTGATAGGGTGGGAGGTAAGCTTGTTACTTTTTTATTTTTGGACTTTTGGGGGCTTTCTATTGAGATAAGGGGAGATATTAAATCCAGTTTCTTGGTTGGCAATGTTTCTGGAGCGGTTGAGGAGTTTAATCGCTTTTGCGAAGGGTAACTTTCATCTCTTTGGAGCTTGAAACCTATACACGATTTGCGACTTTCACCCACTTGATGCCTGCCTACCACCTTACGAGTTATACACTTTTTCAAAACAATTACTAACTTATCTTTACAGGAACTGTTCAATCTGAATATGCCGTCCAAGATCGAAAACAAACTGCCGAGTTTGATTTAACTGAGTGGCAAGTAAATAATCCAGAAGAATATGAAGAAGAGGAAGATGGAAGATCTTGTCCAATATGCGACCAGTCAGATCAAGAAGATGTTCTCTTATTATGCGATGGATGCGATGCACCTTATCATACACATTGTATTGGTTTAAGCAGTATTCCAACTGGCCATTGGTATTGTATGGAATGTGTGGAAAGTGGTGCTTTTACTCAACATGATGAATCGCAAGGACCAGCAAGGACTATACCATTCTCAGGACCAAACTTCAGCAGAACTCAGGCTAGCGTTCGACGTGCTCGTAGGAATGGCAGACAAGATAGATGGATTAATGCTTGGGGTCAATTAAGTAGCGCAATTCGAAATGTCACTGGTGTCGATCTGGATTTTGCCGAGGATGATCAGGAGTTAAGAGGTTATAGGGATCTTCAACAATTTTCCGCTGCCGAATTTAGAAGATGGGAACAACGAATACGTATTGCCAGACGTCAAGGTGCTGATCAAGTATTTCGAGCCGCAGCACCACAGGTTGTTAGAGAACGAATTCAACCACCGGCACCTGTGGTTGAAACTCGTGAAGAAAGGCAAGCATGGGGAGCCATGGAGAGAGCTCAAAATCTCGAGGATGCATCAAATACAAGAAAGCGCAGAAGATCAACTACTGCGTCACCAGCTAGCCGTAGTAGTTCAGCACCGGAGGAACCTGAACGTAAACAAAAGCGTCCAAGAACACGAATTGTTCAAAACGGATCTTCTATCGCATCATCTAGTACAAATAATCAACCTCGACCTCAATCTAGCAGAAGCAATGGTTCACCAACACGATCACCCTCGACAAATACAATCAACACAAACTCGGAACCTACTTTTCTTTCTTCACTTCTTCGAGAAGTTGAGATGGCTCCATCTTCTGATGAAGATTCAATAAGGTTTGGGTTAGATCTTACATCTAATCGAGCAAATGGTGTCACAAGTCCATCTCTTGATTATTCTTCTCCAGCTACTTCTCCAGCATCACCAGCATCTTCTTTTCATAGTCGCGCATTATCGACCACACCCCCACCAAGAGGTAGACAATCCCGTTCACCTCCTTTGAGTACAACTGTTATGCCTGATTTTTCTGCTGTACATTATTCACCAAATCGATCATCACCCACTGACTCGATAAATCAAACAGTCTCAAATGAAAGTAGGAGAAAGAGAGATGGATCTCCCATGTCAGAAATTCAACAACCTCAACCTCGCAGACATAAATCAGCTCGAGCAAGATCTCAAGATTCTTCACCTGTACGAACAAATGCACAATCAGCATCACGATCCGAAAATACTTCACCAATACGAAATACCATGTCAATCGAAGAAAAAGAAAGTATTAGCAAAGTGGTTAAAACAGCTCTAGGGCCTCATTGGAAATCTCGAAAGATATCAAATGAACAATATTGTGATATCAATCGAAATGTATCAAGAAAGCTTTACGAACTTGTTGCCGATAAGAACCTATCTAATGGAGATAAAAGTTCATGGGAAAGGATTGCGACTTCGGAAGTTAGTAAAGCAGTTCGATCTTTAAGAAATTAATTTCAACAAATGGATCAAATTCAGCAAATGGATTGAAATTTAATAACGCATTCACGAACAAATAGCGAAATTATGGATAAATTGGGAAATTTTCATTTAGCATCATGTGGGTATATCTTCCCAGGAGTCTTAGGTATTTGAAGCAAAAGACAATTAGCAATCGGAAGACTCTATTATTGCGATTTGGGATATCACTTTTTTTTTTCGTCGAAATATAGTTGGTTTTATATGGAAAGGAATGGAGCGATTCATTGCATGGCATGCATGGTACATGGTAAATGGATGGATGGTATGAATTGCTATTATGATACCAATATATTTTTGCGCTGGAGCAATAATATGGTGTTTATCGTTTTCTTGTTATGGAGATTGGGACGGAGGATTTGTTTTCAATACATTTGGATGGGGATTTGATGGGGTGTGAGTGTACTTTATCTGTACCTGATATTTTATGGTATGGGTGGTTTTTGGTAATGGTGGGTTAGTGGCTGAGTGGGTGCAGATGGATAATTGATGGGATGGATGGATTTGTATTTTGAGAGGAGAGGATGATGGAGAGGAGAGGGAAGAGAGGGAGAGGAGAGACGAGAGGAGAATGTTGGGATTACTGAGAAGAAGGGTTATGGGATGTTGAATGGAAACGGCAAGGAAAGGGAAGGAAAGGAATGGATTGATGCAATGGTGAAATGGAGTTCAGATACTCGTAGATAGATGAATGATATTTCAATCTTTGAAGAAAAGAAAAGAAAAAATCTCCTTGATTCTTCCTAGTACCTTATTTCCCCCTTTGTAGAATAACATTATATTATCTAAAAGTCTATCGATATCCATATCTTCTACCATAATCCCAAAATCCAATTCCCAAAACGGCCTAGTCCAATATAGCGCAAAAGCAAAGCACAAACCCAATCACCTGACCTCGCCTCGCCTCGCCTCATTTCCACCCCACCCCACCTATAAAATAAGCCCTCCCTCCTTCCTCTCTTCTTTTCTTTCTTTTTTTTTAAAAAATAATCCACGGCATCATTCCTTATCATCAAGACCCGCTTCATCCCAGAACGTCCTGACCATTTATCGATGCCTAGAGTAAATAATCCAGGCTTTTTTTCGCTAGCGGTACCCTCGTTTTTTTTGCTACGGGAACGGTTAGATAGTTGCTGGTTATATTTATTTTTTTCGGTTTTTGGTTTTTTGGGGGAAAGAAGGGAAGAGGGAGTTGTTTGGTGTGGGAGGTATTTAGAGATTTAAATGAATTAATTATATGAGAAATTTTGTTTTTGTGCTTTGCACTTTATATTTCTTGTGAATGGTCGGTTAATTGGTTTAGAATGGAGTGGAATGGAATGTGTGATTGATTGATTTATTGATTATTTGGAAACTTGATGTTGTGTTTTGGGGTTTACTGTAGTGTAGGTATATAAGTATGTGTATATGTGTATTTTTTGTTTGGTTTATGTTGTTGTTATAGTGGTGGGGTAGAAGTTGAAGTTTTTATATGAGGGAGAGAGGGCTTTGATGGGGATTTTTCACGATGAGAGAGAGAGGTTGTATGAGTGTTACTTTGACTGGGCTGAGCTGAATTAATTGTAATATATTGTGTTAAAGTGAATGGTTCCTGCGTAGCACGTGCACAGGGCACTAGTCCTATTAGGACTAGATTGAGAAGCTCTCTGTAGGAGTATTACCTCAGTTCTGCCCTATCAGCTTCCCACTATTCCCTGTGTAAGGTCATTCCTTTTAACAAAAGTTTTCATTTTTATTTATTTTTTTCATTAACAATACAATTATCTATCATTTAATTTGTTATGAGGTTTGCCGTCTAGATCACGTGGAAGTGCTCCAGGCTCTCGAGGTGGTTTATAACTAGGCGTCAAGCAGGGACTTAAGTAATGACAATGATGCAATTCGTAACTAATAGTAGAGTATACTAAATGATTGATCTTGAGCACGAAGCTCTATACAAAGGAAATCCATCTTGATTATATAGACCTTCGTGTTCCGAAAGTCGATCGACTCTTGAAGGGCCGATCGATTCTCAGGGCCGATCGATTCCTACGAAGTCGGTCGGCTTTCGGATCAGGTGACGCTTGTCACATGATCCTGTTAACTAATTGGTCACCTGATGCGAGCTATGTTACGCTGTCGTAACATTAAGTAAGAGGAGATGTTTTATGGGATGTGAGATGTGATTGGATGGATTGACCAGATTGATTGGTAGAGAATCGACGAGATTAGTAAGCGATAATTAATTTTTTGGATCCCCATCTCTTCTGCTTGGTTTTGGTTGGATTGGATTGGAGGGCGGAGATCTTTCACGTATACACATACTTTTACAGCAAATATGACGGCTAGTAGTAGAGGGTGCAGTAGAACTGCTTCGAGATTATTATGTAGGTGTTTGTTTTCTTTTGTTGTGTTTGTTTGTTTGTGTCAATTGAGCGGCGGGCGGGGAGAGAGGGGATTGAGGATTGATTGCGCCCTCGTTGGTGTGTTTGAGGAGTGCTGTTGATGGTTAAATGTCTCGTTCAAAGTCTTGTCTAGAGCTCAGCGAAAAGGCCTCCACGGCAGTGGCTCCCGGAGGGCCAGCGGAGCGTCAAATTTGGCTTTGATGAGGCATTGGATGAATGGCGAGTCGAGAAGACTTACCGGGTCAAGACCTGCTGCTTCTAAATTCTAGAGCTCAATAGCTTGCAAGCTTAAGCAAATTAAAGATTATATACTAATAAATTACAATATAGACTCGTCAAGACCAACAATTATTCCTCGAATCCATCTCAATACCTCATGTATACACAAACTCCCCACCTCAAGAACCTACGCTGTCGCAGCTTCAGCCTTTAAACCTCTCGATGGACCATCATCTCATCTCCCACATATCGATTCTATTCCTCCTGTAACACCATCTCCAGGAGCAATAACCTATAAAATTTCCACCGGAATAATCCTAAGTCGACCACCTCTTCTCACTAAATCCGCAACACCTTTCGAAAAAGCATTTTATCTTTATCAAAAACGTTTAAACGAAAGATTGGTGTTACCATTTACTCGATACTTTTATCATAAAAAAGATCAACCAGCAGATATAGAATGGAAAGCTAAAGTTAAAGAAAGGAATGGAGTTGCTGCGAGGGATATTGGTGGATATCGAGCTTATGGAGATGAAGGATGGAATGATGAAGTTATTATTGGAGGAAAGGATAGTAAAGTTGGGGAATGGGAGAATATTGCTGGAAAACTTGTTGAAGAGGGAATGGGAGAGGAAGGGGAAAGAGTTAAACTTGAGAAGAGAGATGGTGTAGAGGATAAGAAGAGTTTGGCAAGGAAATTGGAGGAAACGGTTTATTTGGTTGTTAAGGGAAAGGGAAAGGGTACGGATAAGGAGGGAAAGGAAATTGATGTTGATGTTTGGGAATTTCCTAAGGGTGATATGGTGGGAAATGAGGTTTTGCATACGGTTCGTTTGTTTATATATATATATTTTTTTTTTACTAACACACTTTTCGTTTTCAAATCTAACACACTTTCATTCTCGTAACTAACACATCATCAACAGGCAGCTCAACGTATCCTTACCGAAACCGCCGGTCAAAATATGAATACATGGATAGTAGGTCATGTACCAATTGGTAGTCTCACAATCAAACCTTCCAAAAAATTCAATAGAGAAGCAGAAAAAGTATTCTATATGAAAGGAAGAATTATGGCAGGTCAAGCTGATTTAAAGGAGAATGCTTATGGAGCTCAAGATTTTATGTGGTTGACTAGAAATGAGATTGAGGGATTAGTTACGAGGAGATTTTGGAGTCAAGTTTGTGGGATGTTGGGAGGTAGGTAGGAAGGAGGTTTTTGTCTGATAGATGGAAGAATTACTTAGTTGATGTGTGAGAGAGGGAAGGAATAAAAGGATAGGAGAAAGATGGATATACATATTCATGAGTCATTATAGAGAGATATGACATGGTATTATGGATGATGATATATAGATATTCATATTCATGTACTCGTATGTAGAAAAAAAATATGAATATAAATGATATTGTAAAATAGAATAGGAAGGAAAGGTAGCTAGCTAAGAAAGTAACTATCAAGAAGAATTAAAGAGTCCAAAAAAGGGAAAATGGATTATTTTAGGGTTTAGATGAAATCACATGAATGATTAGGTAGGGCATGCAAATATATAAGAGTTCTTTTAAATTCGGAGTACGAGTATACGATAGATAGTTAATTAGTTGGTCGTTGGTCGTTGGTCGTTGGTCGTTGAATAAACGCGGGGTTGATGCATATTTATGCATATGCATGTATGTGAGTCAAATTAGTATTGATTGGTAGGTACGTTAATTATTCGAAGAATGAAAAAAGGAAGGAGGCCGATATCGCTGTAGAGTGATGGATGGATGACTGGATGACTGGATGAATGAATGAATGAATGAATGAATATGAATATTGTCTCTAGGACGATATTCAGGTTTATATATCTGGTCGCGTTTGGTTTGGGATACTTGAGGATTAAGTTTTGAGATTGAGGTTTGAGGAATTGGGGAATTGGGGAGTCGAAAACTGCAATATCGGATACGGTTATGAATATAAGTATAAATACGGATTAATTATGATTCCGATTCTTTGAAAGGATATCTAACAACAACATACAATTGACGGCGAACACAAGATCAAATTCAAACGCGAAAAGGAATCCAAGACAATCGACATCATGAACTCAACAACTTCCACCATTCCAAAAAATATCATCATCCTCGGTGCCGGAATTTCAGGTCTCCAAACTGCTCTTTCTCTATTGACTTCAGAAACTCCCTCTCCAAAACCAAAAATAACAATCATAGCCAAACATTTCCCAGGAGAAAAAAATCCAAATTATTGTTCTCCATGGGCAGGAGCAGATTGGAGAAGTCATGCTTCGAGAAATGAAGAGGATAGGAGACTGAGAGGATGGGAGGAAATTACTTATAAGAGGTGGAATGAGATGGGTAAACGAGAGAAGAAGGAGATGGGCCAGAGGGGAGACGGGAAGGAAAGTTTTGGAATGAAGGAAGTTGAAAATATCATGACCATCAGGAAATAGGGAAATGGCCCATAACACCCATCTCTATACTTCCTAGGAGCTAATTACCACTGGAGGCGAAATCGACGAAAATGGTGTTTGGTTTCAAGATATTGTTCAGGGATATCGAGAACTGGATATTTCTAACCCAGCTGGAAATAATCCAGAACTGCATAATTACCCAAAAGGTATCTTAGGAGAAGGGATTAGAAAAAGTGTTTATTTCAACACCGTATGCGTGGATGTAGATAAATATCTCTCATATCTACTCCTTCGCATCAAAACACTAGGCGGGCTAACCATCGGGTCGGAAATCAACACGAATGATGGATTAGAGGGTGTGATTCGTTCTTGTAAAGGTCTTGCTAAGGAGAATGGGATAGGGGGTGAAGTGGATATATTTATAAATTGTACGGGGCTTGCAGCGGGGAAGTTTGTAGGAGGGGATGAGGGGGAGAAATTGTTTCCGGTTAGAGGTCAGGTATTGATGTTGAGGGGGGAGACGAGGGTTTGTAAGACTTTGGTGGGGGATTTGGGGGAGAAAGGGGATGAGTTGCTTTATGTTATTCCGAGGCCAGGGAGTGGGAGGAGTGTGGTTGGGGGGTGTAAACAGGTTCGTTGGTATTTCTTTTTAGAAAAGTTGGGGGAAGAGGGAGGTGGTTTTAGTTCTCATTCTCATCTATTATTTTCGTTCACGGGAAAGATGTCAGGAGATGAAGGGAGCATGGAATCCTGCTGTGGATACAAGTATATAAGTAAAAATGAGAGAGAGAAACTAACCCAAACATGAATATAGGCAAATAACTGGGACTCTAACCCCGACTCACAATTAACGGGAAGAATTCTTCAAAGATTGAAAGATATTGGATGGGCTGATGATTTTATGGATGAGAATGGTCATATAGAGGTTTTGGATACGTATGTAGGTTTTAGACCTGGGAGGAGGGGTGGTGCGAGGGTGGAGGTTGAGGTTGAGGTTGAGGTTGATGGTGAAAAAGAGGGGGATGTGATAGGAAAGAGAGGAAATGCAAAAGCAAAAGTAAAGAAAATAGATGGGGTTTATATACTTCATAATTATGGTCATGCGAGTGGAGGGTATCAGTGTAGTATTGGGTGTGCGGAGGAAATTGTGAGGTTGATTGCGGGGTTGGAGTTGGAGTGATGGAATGGGATGGGGTGATGGGGGGATGGGGGGATGCTGGGTATGTGTAATTTTGGCAGTGATATGGTATAGTGAGGGGGGCCTTGTGATGTGGGATGTGGGATTATGAGATGGTGGGTGGCTATGGGAGTTAGGCATAGGCATTAAGGAGGGGGATTGTTGTTGGTGATGGTATATGGATGGATGGCTGTTAATATAGATCTTCTCTCCTCTCCTCTTCTCTTGTATCCAATAAATTTACTTCTGAACAAAAAAAGAATAGATTTAATATCTAACCCAGAAGAAGTACATATTCTTTCCTTTCCCCCTCTTCGCCTCCTCTCTGTCACGATTCACCATCACGTGGGACAAGTAGGGATCACGTGATGGAGCCTCCAGGAGCATAGGCTCCTCCAGGCTCCTGGAAAGGACCAGTATATAAACATTCATTATTTTCATAGTATAGGAGCTTCGTGCTCAACTTAGTTATCAATTAGTCTACCTACATTCTACTTGATCTAGTAACGACTTCACTTCCAAGTGAATACCAGTGATAAAGCCTTAACCCACAACTACCAACCAGACGAAACCTTAGGCAGCCGCTGCCTCCCGTAGAGTATCGTTACAGTTATCTAGAGATGTTAAAAAGAGCGGAGATGAAATAAATATATTTAGATTAGATTATATATATATATATATATATTAATTCAAGTATATTTCTTATTTATAAAAGATGTATAAGCTTGGGAGTTGAGTGAGAGGGAAATAATAGGATGTGGTGAAAGGAGCTGGCTGGAGGTTGGAGGTTGAAGGGAAGAGGAAGTATATTGAGAGTAATTTATACTTTTATCTGTTCTGAAATTTAGATTGGATAGATGTGAATAGATGTGGATAGACCTTTTATCAAGTTTTGAAATGATATTCTTCACGTACTGCAGAGTGTACATGATATCAGACATATGCGCTTGAAATTAAATTAGAGACCCCGAAAGATTTGATAAAAATCATGAACCTCTAGAACCCAGACCGCGAAATCACGTTCCTCTTCACCTCTCACAATATGTACGACCTCCAGAACCCCACCAAACCACAATTCCACAGTTTTATTCCCCAGTTCAAAGTTGGAGCGCGAATATATATACAAATATCTATACGTGCTTCAACAAACAGAGCCCGTTTGGCTTAGCGGTAAAGCGCATCACTAGTAATGATGAGATCCTAGGTTCGATTCCTAGAACGGGCAATAATTCAAGCATGAAACATTCTTTTTGTGTTTTTGGATCTTTGATTAAATGGAGGTAGTAGCTAGCTAGTTAGGTAGACACATTTTGCCCTCAACATCAATCAAAAATTCACATACAGAACAAAGAAAAAAGTTGAGGAGAAATGTTCGCCTGTGAGACAATTAATTAGGTAATCAATCAACTGTTGGACGAAAGAATAGTTTTCGGCATTCACACTTCCCTAATTCCTCGCTACACTTGGCGCTACACACACTTCTATTTTGACCACACAACACAAAGAATAAGGAAACCCACTTTCAAAATCCGTTGCGACTTGTTTTCCCAACCTTACCGGAATATTCAAAATCCATACATAACCTTTCATCACTTTGACGGGAATCTCAGATTAACTTTTCCGGAGTTTGAAAATTCCGAACCCTGTCTGTCCTATTGTCGATTCTTTTATTAAAAGGGTTTAGTTTGAGTTCTTTGTTGTGAATTTAGAAGGTATCAATCACATCATCATTATGTACGATTAATCATCAACCTCGGTCGGACCAAAAAAAACCTCAACATGTATGTACTCCGTAGGATTTTGTTCCTAAGAGTTATATATACATATATACATCTACATCAAAAAAAAGCCAAAAAGAATGCTCATGAACTCAGAACCTCTCTGACGGGGAGTCGAACCCCGGTCTCCCGCGCTCTGCCAGGTAAGTGACAAGCGGAAATCATGACCGTTAGACCATCAAAGATTTTTGATTGACAGTCAATTGTTTTCCAAATCTATATACCCATCATTGTGCCGCTTTCACGTACCATTCATTTCTCAAATTCGTGCCTGAAATCTTCCGTCTTTAAACATTCAACTTTCGTAAAACCGAATTTCGAATTTTGGATTTTGGATTTCAGTATCCATCTTCTACAATACAGATTGCTATAAAATAATACCAGTACATTGGATTTACGATTTCACATTTACATTATGATATACCTAAATAGTTAGTAGTATAATGATCAACTCCGGTCTGTCTTTCCTCCTACGTTTATGACATATTGTTGACCTCCTGGGATCTTGGCAGCATATGCATATATATTGCATGATGCATATAAGGAGCAAACAAAACTCAACTTTTAATTCATTCTTTCCTTTTTGGTATACTGTTTGTTTGCTTTCAATATTTTGATTTCAAAGCACTTTAATTCCGAAGGCCGAATACATAACCCTATTCCTTCATTTTTTGAATATATACTCGCAGCTTAACTGCTTAGCTAGAGAATCAATCAATTCAATCTGATGCTCTTTCTGCTCTCAAGAAACCCAATACATATAGAAAGGATATATTCTTGATGAACCTTATCTTCAAAAAACCATCATAATGGAAAACACCCGGGAGTCCCCCGGCTTCAGTATTGCTTGAATATCTAGGAGTCTTGAGAGATCCCACAATTACGGTCACAGGGGTACTTTCACAGTAGAATCGGTAATCGGTGTCGATATCCGGTATCTGTCGAATGAAGTCAGATGAGTATAGTCCTGTGCTGTTTAGAATGTTATATGCGGAATCTCTAGACAGTGGAGAGAATTGTACTGTTCTAGAGATTGCATTGGTTGTTCTCTACACATTAATGTACCAACTCTCGCGATACAATATCAGATCTTATACTCCGGATTCTACTAATAGTTGCCCCTTATCTTCTTCCACTGTGCGTAAAACTTTCCATAACCTACGGTTAGATTTTCAGTACTCAGTTAGCATAGAATCCCAACTGCCAATCATCTCATGTAACATCTACCTCCAAAGGAAGAACACTCACCTATCCATACCAAATCTCAAATCTTCCTCACCCATAGCAAAAGTAATACGATACCAACCAGGTTCTTCCGATGCAAAAGCTTCACCTGTAGCTAACCAGATTCCAAATTTCAACATCTTCCATGAGAGAATTCGTTCCGCTTCGATAGTTGGAGATGTAAGATATGAACGGAGATCTATCCAGATGAATGGACCACAGGAGCTATATTATATCAGTTTCTCTTACCGAGACAAGAGTGAAAGAGGAAGTATTCTTACGCAGGAATAAAAGAAATTTCAAATTCTTTCAGTTGCTGTGTACAAATCTCATATGCGGTAGTCATTCTTTGACCAAGAGTTGAAAAATAATAATCGAGGAATTTTTGATCATTTAACATCAACGTCCATACATGATCCGACAGTGAAGATGCCCATGCGAATTTTGATATTGCTCCTAAAGTTTGATGAAGGATGGGATTATGTTGTGAGATGATACATCCGATACGTAGACCATTGGAGCAAAAGTCCTAGAAAAATTCTGAGTATTCGATTTCTTTACATTATCATAAGTGACTCCAAAAGAATGAAGGAAGAAACACACCTTACTCATACCATAAATCACACAAACCAAAGCTGGATCACAAAACTTTTCGATATTTAATGAAAGTATCGAGGTAAAAGACATGGGGTCCGGTATATCTTGATTAGGAAAAACAGCTTTGGCATATACTTCATCACTGATGAGGTGGATGTTGTATTTTGAACATAGACAAAGATATGCTTCCAAGACTTCTGGTGCATAGCATCTTCCAAGGGGGTTGTGTGGATTACAAAGCAGAAGTCCTTTAATCTTGATACCCGTTTGTCGAGCTGCAAGAAGTGCTTCTTCGTGTTTATGGACCCCAGTCATCGTAGTAACATTTTCGAGTGAGCCAATTGATACAGGAATTACTTTGACTCTTACTTCCGTGATTAGCATAGAAGAATTAGTAGACTACAAAATACACACCTTGCACGATCCTCGAAATCTCCTACAAATCCAACATAAAATGGTTGAGCAACTAAGATTCCTTCATCTTCTTCTGCGATACAATAACTTAATGCATCTAGAATTGAAGAACCCCCTCCCATAACCGTTACATGGTCTCTTGATACGGATTTTTTGGGTGAGAAATTTGAGTTCCAGAATCCGGCGAGAGCAGCACGTAATTCGAAAGAACCAGTTGGACCATCTCCGTATGTGAGCACTGAATTGTGTTAGTATTTTCCTTGTTTCGAAGTGAGATAAGAAGACACGAGATAAAATACTTTTCGGAGTTATGCTAAAATTCTTGTTGATATATTCTGCAATTTCATGATGCCTACGAAATTACCTCAGTTAATCCTACCACCAAGACCAAACACAACTTCTCAGCTCGAGACCAGACATACATAAGTCTATTCTCCGCAATTCCCATAGGGAAAATACCATCTGGATTCTTTTCTGACCACGGATTACCAAACACTGTACCCATAAAATTTCGAACTTCTTCCGATGAAATGTTTTGAAGACATCGGGAAGAGAGGTTATCCATATTCGGAATAAGGAGAACTAAAAACTAGAAATTAATCAAAGCCTAGGGGGATGTATGTACAGATAAAAACCTTTATATATCAAAATTGTGTAGATTGAGTCGAGAAATAACTTTTGCGGAGTCAGTGATATCGATATGATGTTGGTTCACGGAAGAACCCCGGCAAACCTGACGCTTGTTTGTTTGCTACACCGACAATCTATCAGAATTAAAAGTATTGAAATGTAAATAAATTCACTATTAACTGAGTTACATGTTTCAATAGAATGGAAAATATTCACGTGGTAGAAGTTACTTGAAGCTCATTTGTTTTTAGACAGTCGTCAAGGTAAACGAGACAGCTTCTCAGTCTCGTCGCGAATCGAATTAATATTCTAGTTGCTACTCTCCCATGAGCTCCACGGCGCGAGGCAATACAAACCATAATTATTTCACCACAAGAAACGCAAACATCATCCATTTGCTGGTACAGTTCTGTGTGGCCGGTGAAGTGAGAGAGGAAGAGTTTCTTTTATATTATTAGTGCAAAGTTGTCTACATTCATGAAAGAAGCAAACAGAGACAATGAGATACCGAAGTCGAATCTCAGATGTTGATTGGTTTGGCTACGATGCTTTAATGATGGATAATTGGAACAGATCCTCGATGGCCATTAGTTGACAGTGAATGTGCCTGGTCAAGGGCAGGGGAAATATAGAACTCCTACCTACCCCATATATTCGCTCAATGCTGTCAAGAAGAAAAGAAACTCTCACACCTTCAATGGGAACGTCTTCATCTTAAACCTTCACCAGCTCCAGTGTTTCGAGTGGAACTCTTGGATGAACTTAAAACGCTTCTTTCATTCTATGGGACGGACATGGGTGACCAAAGAGAGTGTCCCGAGTCCCGATCCTAGTTCAAAGTTTGATTGTAAATCAAATCTACCTGCTGTTATCTTCCATGCTGAGGTGCTCTCTCTGATTTGGGTCCTGCCCAAATTAAGGTCGGTCCATTTAAGTGGCATTCCTCCAGACGAGGCATTCTCCGTAGACTAACGGTCAATCTACATCCCCTATTACTCAATTAAAAATGCATGATATTTATTTCTCCGTCCACCTTCTTACTTCTTCTTCAATAATCTTGCAACCTAGCTAGCGCTAAGTGAGACATCCTCCCGTTGCAAGTAGTGGTGGTGGACGGATTCCACGAAAATGCCTCCCCAACCAAAAATCGTAATTAATCCAACTTTCAATTCATTCTTTGCAAAATGTATAAACTGATTTTTTAACCTATGATGAAGTGGCCGGGCCACTCCGCAAAACTTTGGGGTGTGCAAAATAAGTGTTGCAAGAGCATTGTTGTGTTCAACTTTCCCAGCGTCCCAAAAGTCCGAACACACTTCTTGGAGACAAAAGACAAAAGATTTAATAATATATGGACCGAGTGAGCCCCGCAGGGATCGAACCTGCAATCTTTTGATGCCGGAATCAGCTATTATTTCTAATAGAAGTCGAAGTCAAACGCGTTGCCATTGCGCCAGAAGCCCTGTCTTGCTTTACATCCAGGAGCTTTTTTCAATATATATACTATTTTCAAATTAATCGAAGATAATACTTCATAAGGTGGAGATTTGGACAATTTAGTGGGGTCTTAGTGCTGTGCTGGTACGAATAGTACAGCGGGATTTCTCATGTCGGTCCAGCTAGGCGTTTAGCCCTCGCTAGTGATTAGCTGAATTAACGAGGTTTTGTGTGATGGGGCGCGGAGTAGTGTGTGCTACATCGATTAGTATTCCTTCTACGAAAAGCTTCTATGGATATTCTCGATAGTCCGCGATTATGCAATCCGCACATGGGATTTCAACTTTAGTGCTATGTCAGATGCGTTTAGTGGCATAGCACGGAAATCACGGGCTTTTTTGGGTTTTCCGTTGGATGGCCCCACCTCTGCTTTGAATTTTGTTTTTCGGTGGAGACTTGAGAGAGATTGTGCACGGTTCATGTAAGAGTGAATAACCATGGAGCGATTGAATCATTGAGCTCATGGAAAGAACTCAGGGACGCGGAAAATACCCTACACTGTCATCGGTGCATGAGTGCCAAGGGGTTGGGGATACGAACCCTTTTAAGGTGAGATCGAGCGAGATAGATTTTTTTCGCACGGCGATAGAAGGTGTCAGAAAGTTGCGATTAGTGGAACCTTGACGGGATCGGATGAACGAACGAATACAGGTCTAAAGTGGACGGACGGTGTATGAAGAGCCTACAAAATTCGCGTCGCGATATTTTTGACGGCTCAATATTATGCCGCGACTATATCTGACAACACAAAGAAACAACAGGAATTTTTACCAGGAATTCCAGGCAGAACCGGTCAGATTTTGCCCGCGCAGAGACGCCCAATACCTGAACCACACGAATCTTGAAGGAGCTGTATCAAAGAGATAACGAAGTACATGATGGATGAGCATACCCACGATTTAATGGCGACACGTTTATGCATTTAGATCTTACAAACAGATCTTGAGCGAAGAAAAGTCGTGACGTAAAAATGGTGAGAAGCTTTCTTGGAGAAGTTCAATCTAAGTTAGCTGTAGATGTCCAATGACAGCATCTATCAAAGCGATAACCCTGCTCACGTTTTGGTGGTAGGGCTGTTTAGGGGTTTAAAGGTCTAGCTCGGACTATGCGGACTTTTGTGCAAGAACCGAGTACAGGTACTTTGAAGCCTTCTATCTCTTTGTTTAACACATCGGGAGTCGGAATTAAAAATCTCTCTCATGTATTTCTCATTTATGTATGTTTATCTATACTAATCATGACGAATGTGGAATTTCTCATCAGATTATCACATGGAAAAGTTTCCGTTTCAAGATAAGTTTAAGAAGGTAGTTCTCGAATCTCGCTCGCCCCCTTCATATGGTGGGGTTTTGGCGTCGTACGCACTGTGTCGGTGTTCAACTTGTCCGAGTGGAATGCGGAAAACGTTATTTTGGCGGTTGGCTTGGTGTAATTACGGGCACATAGGATTGTCCTTTGAAAATTGACAACAACCCGTAGTGTCGGTATCGGAATTTTTATTATTAGTTGATTATTTTGGTGGGTCTAAATGATTAGTATTTCCCTGCATTGCTTACCTCGCGATGTTTCCAGTCCGATGGTTAGAGGTTACTTTAAAACTCGTTGCCCCTTCGTCAGAGGGAAATTATACGCTTCTTAAGTTTAATTTTCTTGATACCTCTACCTGAGGATTTTTTATTCAGTGATTTATTTTTAATACATTTTCATCTTTTCAATTGATTCTTTCCTATCAATAGATTCATATCAATATCACAATTGCCTATCATGGCAGACACTGAGCCGGAAGGCTTCGCTTCGGTGGTTCGACCACACGACGGACATGGAAATGGACTTACACGAGCACTTTCAGCATCATCAGCATTTTCAGAACGAAGAGGACAGAGGGCTTACGATTCAGACGAAGATAATAAGGATCAGCCAATAAGTCTGGCCGAGGATTGGAGTATGATGCCTGAGATTCAAGCTATACGAAACCAAGAAGAAAAAGATCAAGTCAGAAGAAGGGATTTGGGAGTAACGTGGAAGAACTTGACGGTTAAGGGAATTGGAGCCGATGCAGCTATTAATGAGAATGTTCTATCCCAGTTCAATGTCCCGAAGATCTTCCAGGAAGGAAGAACAAAGCCACCACTTAGGACCCTCGTCGATAATTCTCACGGATGCGTTAAACCTGGAGAGATGTTACTAGTTCTTGGAAGACCTGGAGCCGGATGCACGACCCTATTGAAGATGCTTGCCAACAACCGATTGGGATACGCAGAGGTTACGGGTGATGTTCACTATGGATCCTTGACTCACATCGAAGCACAACAGTATCGAGGACAAATCGTCATGAATACCGAAGAAGAACTCTTCTTCCCTACACTCACTGTCGGACAAACAATCGATTTCGCAACCAGGATGAAGGTTCCACATAATTTACCTTCTAACACAACTACACCAGAGCAATACCAACAAGCGAACCGAGATTTCTTACTGAAGAGTATGGGTATCTCACATACTCATGAGACTAAAGTAGGAAATGAGTACGTGAGAGGTGTATCTGGTGGTGAGCGAAAACGCGTTTCCATCATTGAGATGCTTGCTACCAGGGGAAGTGTGATGTGTTGGGATAACTCAACCAGAGGATTGGATGCAAGTACGGCTTTGGAATACACGAAAGCTATCAGGGCAATGACGGATATTTTTGGATTGGCCAGTATTGTTACCTTGTATCAAGCTGGTAACGGTATCTACAATCTCTTCGACAAGGTTTTGGTTTTGGATGAAGGCAAACAGATTTATTATGGACCGATGAAACAAGCTAGACCTTTTATGGAAGACTTGGGATTCATTTGCGATGATTCTGCTAACGTTGCTGATTTCTTGACTGGTGTTACGGTATGTTTTTTCTTTCCTTGGAAGCACGCACAATTTCCATACTAATCGCATCTTATTACAGGTACCAACTGAGCGAAAAATCAGACCCGGCTTCCAAGATCGATTCCCTAGAACTGCCGGCGAGATTCTCAAAGCATACACCAACACCCCCATCAAAGCCAAGATGGAACTAGAATACAATTATCCCACGACGGACCTCGCTAAACAACGAACCGTCGATTTCGCTCACTCGGTCCAGCATGAAAAGAGTCCCAAGCTCGGCAAAGATTCTCCTCTCACCACTAGTTTCGTCACTCAGGTCAAAGCCTGCGTTTCCCGACAGTATCAAATCATCTGGGGAGACAAAGCCACTTTTTTCATCAAGCAACTTGCCACTCTCGCCCAAGCCCTCATCGCCGGTTCGCTCTTCTACAATGCTCCTGCTAACTCTGGTGGTCTTTTCCTGAAATCTGGTGCTCTTTTCTTCTCTCTCCTGTTCAACTCTCTCCTCGCCATGTCCGAAGTTACAGATTCGTTTACCGGTCGTCCCATTCTCGCTAAACATAAAACCTTTGCTTTGTATCATCCAGCCGCATTTTGTATTGGTCAAATCGCAGCCGATATCCCCGTTCTACTTGTACAAATATCGCATTTTGCACTCGTCGTGTATTTCATGGTGGGATTGAAACAAGACGCCGGTGCTTTTTTCACTTACTGGGTCATCATTTTTGCAGTGGCCATGTGTATGACAGCTTGTTTCCGAGCCATCGGAGCCGCATTCTCGACGTTCGATGCCGCCAGTAAGATCTCCGGGTTCTTGATTAGCGCCCTGATTATGTACACGGGTTATATGATTCGCAAACCAGACATGCATCCTTGGTTCGTCTGGATTTACTGGATTGATCCCCTTGCATATGGATTCTCAGCTATCCTCGCAAATGAGTTCAAAGGCACTATTATTCCCTGTGTTGCAAACAATTTGGTTCCAAATGGACCTGGATATACCGATGTAGCACACCAAGCTTGTGCCGGTGTAGGAGGAGCTTTACCAGGAGCTAACAGTGTCACTGGAGAACAATATCTCGCTTCGCTCTCATACGCTTCATCCCACATCTGGAGAAACTTCGGAATCGTCTGGGCCTTCTGGGTTTTATTCGTTGTAATTACCATTTACTGTACCAGTAACTGGAGTGCCTCTGCAGGAAAATCCGGAGTTCTGTTGATTCCTAGAGAGAAAGCTAAGAAGAACACTGCTATTCTGAAGGCTGCCATGGCAGGTGACGAGGAAGCACAAGCTGTTGACGAAAAGAGCCCAAAGACTTCTCGTCCTACGTCTCAAGACACCAAGGTAGAAGGTGGAAGTGATGAGCAATTAGTTCGCAACACCTCTGTATTCACCTGGAAAAACCTCACATACACCGTCAAGACACCATCGGGCGATCGGGTTCTCCTCGACAATGTACAAGGTTGGGTTAAGCCCGGTATGTTGGGAGCACTCATGGGATCATCCGGAGCCGGAAAAACGACACTTCTCGATGTACTCGCGCAACGCAAAACGGACGGAACAATCAAAGGATCTATTCTCGTTGATGGTCGACCCCTCTCTGTTTCTTTCCAACGTTCGGCTGGTTATTGTGAACAATTGGATGTGCATGAGCCATTTGCTACCGTACGCGAAGCTTTAGAATTTTCTGCACTTCTCAGACAACCACGAACCACTCCTGACGCCGAGAAATTGAAATATGTTGATACCATTGTTGATCTTTTGGAAATGCACGATATGGAGAATACCTTGATTGGAACCACTGGAGCAGGATTGAGTGTCGAACAGAGAAAACGCTTGACAATTGGTGTGGAGCTTGTTTCTAAACCATCGATTCTTATTTTCTTGGACGAGCCCACTTCTGGTCTTGATGGACAAGCTGCTTTTAACACGGTACGATTCTTGAGAAAATTGGCAGATGCCGGTCAAGCTATTTTGGTTACTATTCATCAACCTTCCGCTCAGCTCTTCGCTCAATTCGATTCTCTCTTGCTTCTCGCTAAGGGAGGTAAGACCGTCTACTTTGGAGAAATCGGAGAAGATTCCAAAACCATCAAGGAGTACTTTGCCCGCTACGATGCCGCCTGTCCTGAATCTTCCAACCCCGCTGAACACATGATCGACGTCGTATCGGGTGCGCTAAGCAAAGGTAAAGACTGGAACGAAGTATGGCTCAACTCACCCGAATACCAATACACTGTCAAAGAGCTCGACCGCATCATCGATACTGCTGCGGCCGCACCACCAGGAACAACAGACGATGGATTCGAATTCGCCATGCCTATCTGGGAACAAGTCAAACTCGTTACTCATCGCATGAACGTTTCTATTTACCGCAACACGGATTACATTAACAATAAAATGGCGCTGCACATTGGATCTGCTTTGTTCAACGGGTTCAGTTTCTGGATGATCAAACATTCGGTTGGAGGACTCCAACTTCGCCTCTTCACCGTCTTCAACTTTATTTTCGTCGCTCCGGGTGTGTTGGCACAATTGCAACCTCTCTTCATCGAACGAAGAGACATTTACGAAACGCGCGAGAAAAAATCAAAAATGTATTCTTGGTGGGCCTTTGCAACTGGAAATGTCGTCTCTGAAATTCCTTACCTCATTATCTGCGCCATTCTCTACTTCATCTGTTGGTACTACACTGTTGGCTTTCCAAACGATAGCCACAAGGCCGGTTCTGTCCTTTTCGTCATGATCTGTTATGAATTCATCTACACTGGAATCGGACAATTTATCGCTGCGTATGCACCCAACGTTGTATTCGCCGCACTGGTCAACCCCCTTATCATCGGAACACTCGTGTCTTTCTGCGGTGTCTTGGTACCTTATGCACAAATTACTGCGTTCTGGAGATACTGGATTTACTACCTCAATCCCTTCAATTATCTCATCGGATCTCTCCTCGTCTTCACCACATGGGATTCTCCCGTCTCGTGCCGCGAATCTGAATTCGCCATTTTCAATCCTGCAAATGGTACTTGTGGCGAGTACTTAGCTTCGTATCTTCAAGGATTAGGAGCAGCTGCCAATCTGGTGAATCCTGAGGCGACGAGTGGATGTAAGGTTTGTGAGTACAAGACTGGTATGGATCAGTTGAAGACTCTTAATTTGAAAGATTATGGTTATGGATGGAGAGATGCGGGAATTTGCGCATTGTTTGTTTTCAGTGGATATGCGTTGGTGTTCTTGTTGATGAAGTTGAGAACGAAGAAGACAAAGGGAGCTGAGTAGATGTTTTCAAAGGGGTTGAGTTGGTGTTGTTGATGTTGTCAATGTTGATGATGTTGTCGATGTTGATGAGGAATGAGCATGAGTGAATGAGTCCATTCTCACGTGTGAAATAGAAGGAAGTGAAGAAAATTCCTTAAATTTCCGTTATGGTTATTAGATGTTATAGATGGGAAGGAGTTTTGGATTGTTTATATCATCTTGTGTTTATAGATTGATACTCTTTGTGTTGGCGTGGATTTTAATTTGCTTAGGAGTAGATAATTAGATTATACCATAGTTGTATATCATTTTTGGGTACTTAGATACCTACTTTAACATTTACATTCTCAATAGAGAGGCAGAATATACTTTTCTTCTCCTCCATTTTTCTTACTTTTGACTCATTGTACTGTTGTGATTTTGTTGATTCTAGGATATTTGACATGAAATTTGTATGAGGGGAACTGAGCTATCTAGGGGAAATTGGGGTATATATATATCGGTTGTGCTTCAATTCTACAATTATAATTTGCTGGATTAAGTGATTTTATTCATTTAAAATTATTATTTAAATTGAGTAAATATAGGTTTTCAATAAATATAAATATTAAACCTAGTACTCTACTTCTAGACCACCCCTAATATAAGCTATCCTTTTACATGTTACGAGGTTTGCCGTCTAGATCACGTGGAAGTGCTCTAGGCTCTCGAGGTGGTTTATAACTAGGCGTCAAGCAGGGATTTAAGTAATGACAATAATGATATGCAATTCGTAATTAATAGTAGAGTATACTAAATGATTGATCTTGAGCACGAAACTCTATACAAAGGAAATTTGTCCTGATTATATAGACCTTCATACTATAGATCTTCAGGACCCTGAAAGGTCCTGGACCTAAGAATATGTTGGACCTTTATTTTTCGTGCGTATTATGTAGGGTCCATCACGTGATCAAATCACGTGGTAATGGGCTTGTGGGAGTCCGACGTAACACAATTATCACAAACTCCTATAAAACAATATACCTACATACCTAGTACCTACATCCAACTAATCCAACCAATCTTTACGATAACCTTATATACCTACCTAATCATCATCTTTATCATCTCTATCATCTCTATCACCTCTATCATCTCTATCATCTCTATTCAAAACTACAAATACACCATCCATCATCCAATCTCTCTATTTATAAACACAATAAATTATACTGTTTTATAATAGAGGTCTTTCCTTACATAGGATCACCAAGGTATATCTATAATAAATAATAACCTCAACATTATATTTCTATCATCTCTATTATCTCTCTACATCGATAGTTAATAGTCAATAGTTAATAGTCAATAAATATATCTTCATTTATAACCCTATTCTATCCAATAATGTACAAACAATCCTCCATCCATCCATCCATCCATCCATCCATCCATCCATCCCTTTCACCCATCCCTCACACTCACAAATATTTCTTCTGACCCCCATTCTTCCTCTTCTTATACAAGACATAAGCAAGAATCAAACCAATCTGACTTCCCACAACGATGAATGCTAAACCCGCATATCCAATACTCGATTGATGAGCTTTAAATCCCTCTCCTACCGTACCTAATACACTTCCATGAGTTTCTGCCACTCTTTGCTTCAAACTTAATACATGTCTATCCAAGGCCTCGTGTAATTCCTTTTTGGTACTCTTAACATCATTTGCTACATCTCTCAAATTTCTTTCCAAGGCTGAAACGGAATCTAATTTTGATAAGGAGGATTCTAGACGGGAGATGGTGTTTGTGAGGGAAGCAATATTTCCATTGAGAGATTCAAGACGAGAAATCGAATTGGCTTGATATTGAGAAAAGTCGCGATTTAAAGCTGTAATGTGTTTCATCATTGCTTGAAGACGGTTGTGAAGATCTGCGAATTGGGCATCGGAGGATTTGTAGTCGGAAGCAGGGGTTTCACCAGGAATATCTAGGGTTGCTCCTGCTTGATTTTGCTGTTGGGATTGTTGATTTTGTTGATTTTGTTGGTTCTGCTGTTGAGGAGGATTATTGGCAGCTTGAAATTGTTGTTGATTTTCGTTCGCGGGATTTTGAACTTGATCATCAGGAGTATGGGAATCGGTGGTGACGACAAATTTAAAGATTTCAAATGAATCTGGATTTTCTGCAGAGGCGGCAGTTACTCCAAAGACATAACCTAATGGTAGCTTGATCTTATCAGATTGAAAACATAAGGTACCATCAACCTCGACTTTGAAATTATCGGCAGTTTGACGAATGTGAATTTTGGATGGAATGCCTCGATTTCGGTAGGAATAGGGGCAATGACCAAATGCGAGAGAGTCGACTGAATGGTGAGAAGAATATTCAGTTGTGCCATCGTTAAGGAATCCACGAATAAAACCAGCCTAAGATCCGTTAGCATTTTGCGCAGGAGTAGTCGCAGAGAAAGAGACATACAGATCCAGCATACTGATCAACAACCAAAGCTAATCCATCGAACTTTCCAACCGTGTATATGCTTGATACCTTGATATCCTCATTCTTAGCATACCAGATATTCAGATTACCACCACCTCTCTCCGGACCAGTGGCACGGAATTCGATATCTGCAGCCCATTGCGAATGTTGTAATTTCTTTTCCGTCCATACAGCTCCTCTTTGATTTCCCAATGCAGGTGGTGTAAGAACGATTCGATTACTGAGGATATCTGGATAGTTTGGTTGCCCTATCAAATGAAAATTGGGAATGGCGCGACCATTCGGTGAAATCCTATGATTTTTAATGTTTGATGGATGGAATTGAGGATTGGAAGTAACTTACTTTCCATCGTGACCAAAGCTCAAATCGTTATTCAGATATGTAGCCTGGGTATATGCAAAGAATGCAGCGGCCGATGTAAGGGATGCTTTAAAGAAATGCATTGTGCTTAACCTCGAAACCTTTCCTAACCTACCCAATCCTTATTCTTTTGTAAGCACCAAAAATAAGAATAAGAACTGCCAGCGTCCCTTTTAAAATTCCCTTTCCCTCAATTCCAGGAGGAGGATGTAATTAACATGAAGAGGACAGACAGACAAGTAATAAGTAGTATGATTTACAAGATAAATCCTACTGTACAGAGGAATTGAATTTATGTTGTAGACACTTGGCAGCTTTGATCGATCAATACCCCAGGCCACTTTCTCTCTTGCAGTAATAATAATACTAATAATTCTCGGCGGAGGGGATTTTTGGGGTACAGTTCGGTGCGTGATACCGTGATACCACTATGTGATACCACCTACTACCACCTACCACACCCACTACAAACCTAATCTTCTTTTCGATTTTGATTCTGTTTGAAGACAGATTGCAATGTGCTCTGAATTATATTGCTTACACAATAGATTCCCACAAGTGTAATGATGAGATTTCGGATGGGTTTGCCTAGTGATTGGATTGAAGGACCAATTTCTATCGTGAATTTATGATTGACGAGATGTCGTATAGCTATTTCTGATGGTACAAATGCTGGATCCATATTGCGGCGGGGAGTGAGTGAGTGAGTGATTGATTGATTGATTGATTGATTGAGCGGTAGAAGTTTTTTTCACGGACGGAAGCTTTCTATGGATTCGCTGGGTTATTTCCCCTTCTCTTTTCTCTGCTGGCTCCGGGATTTCTTACTTGGGTGCGGAATGTTTCTGATGTTTCTGATGTTTCTGATGTTTCTAATGCTTCTATTATCCTTGTTGGTGGGCTGCTTCGGTGGGTTCTGTGTCAAAATGTCAGGCAGGGGAAGAGCTTTGGCCCTTTGACTGATGATTGATGTGTTGCTGCAAGAAATATCGGCCTTTATAAATTCCGTGATGTGATGTGGTGGTGTGTGTGGTGGAACTTCTAAACTTACTACCGAGTACTTTACAATTTGTTCATTTTGAGACCACAATTCTATTTCATCTATTCAATTTGAGATTCAATTCATCCCAAGACAATTTCGACTAACCTAATCCTTTAACTTGGGTATGTCTAGATGGCAGAAGTATATCCTTCAATTGCACAATGTGCAGTGGTAGCTACAGCTTTCAAGATATTATTGTTTCCCGCATAGTCAGTTATCTTGATTCTTCCCCTCACAAACCGATATCTCTCCAACGTTCAATGGAACTATCGTCCTGATTAATATTCTAGCAAATCCACAGACTTTGAGGTTCATAGGAATTGGCTCGCGATTACGAATAGTTTACCATTAAATGAATGGTATATCGAAAAGACGTCAGAATGGACTCTCGATTATCCACCCTTCTTCGCATACTTCGAATTATTTCTATCAAAGTTCGCAGAATGGATTGACCCATTGATGTTGATGGTCAAAAATTTGGAATACAGGAGCTGGCAAACCGTCTACTTTCAACGCGCAAGTGTTATTGCTACTGAATTAGTTTTGGTGTATGCGCTTCATCTGTAAGTGCTTTTGAATCTCTGATTATCATCGAACTAACATTATCAAGCTTTGTGAAAACCGCCCCCACCAATTTAAAGCGTCCTTCGCAAGCAGCCGCTCTTTCGATCCTACTTTCACCTGGTCTACTTATTATCGATCATATACACTTCCAGTATAATGGTTTCATGTACGGTCTCCTCATATTATCCTTAGTTATGGCTAGAAATGAGGGAACCAAGCTAGCAAGTGGTATACTATTCGCAATATTGCTTTGCCTCAAACATATATACCTCTATCTTGCGCCAGCATATTTCGTCTTTTTACTATCAGGATACTGCCTTGGGTCCAAGTTTGGACCTAAGCGTCCTTTTGATATAAAGTTTGGGAATGCTATCAAATTGGGAGTTAGTATTGCAGTAGTATTCGGAGCTGCATTTGGACCTTTCGTTTATTTTGGTCAAATGCCCCAGATTATAAGTAGACTTTTTCCCTTCGGAAGAGGTCTCTGTCATGCTTATTGGGCTCCAAATATTTGGGCTATGTACTCCTTCACTGATCGAGTTTTGATATCTGGTAAGCCTTCCTCACCCAAACAGAGTCTCTTGCTATTGAAATTCAAGGTTCCGTAATCCTAAGTTTGTAACTAACAAATGTACAGTCGCCCCCAAAATCGGCCTCGCGGTTGACCAAACGGCTGTCAATAGTGTGACTCGTGGTCTTGTTGGAAATACTTCCTTTGCCGTGTTACCCGAAATCACCAAAGGCATGACTTTCGCTTTGACAGCCATCTTTGATTTTATTCCATTGTTTAAGCTCTACAAGAGTCCTACATGGGACAACTTCATCGGAGGTGTAACACTTTGTGCTTATTCCTCATTTCTTTTCAGCTGGCATGTCCACGAAAAAGCAATTCTTCTAGTCATCATACCGTTCAGCCTGATTGCTTTGAAGGATCGTCGATTCCTTGGGGCATTTCGACCATTGGCTGTTGCAGGTCATGTTTCTTTATTCCCTTTGCTTTTCACAGCTGCGGAATTCCCCATCAAAATTGTGTATACCATTTTCTGGCTTGTTTTGTTTCTCCTTGCCTTTGATCGTTTGGCACCAGCGTCAAAATCAAGAATATTCTTACTTGATAGATTTAGCACACTCTACATTACTGTCAGCATTCCTCTGATAATGTATTGCTCGCTGGTGCATCAAGTTGTCTTCGGGAATAAGTTAGAGTTTTTGCCGTTGATGTTCACGAGTTCATACTCGGCAATCGGAGTTGTGGGAAGCTGGATAGGATTTTTGATAGTATATTTTGAAAGTTAAGAGTAGTCAATGATACCCATTTGTTTCTTAGGAGTCCTGTCAAATTAAGAATTCATTGATACTGCAGCACTGAATGTCATTTGCGAGCATGCTTTTGGATGGTCAATATTGAACAGTATTTACCACAACCGCATAAGCGAGTTTAACGGCCAATATTTGCTCTGTACGACAACTCGCGCTATGCTTGTAGAGATGCTAATCTGGAAGATGACTAGGAAAAGCAAATTGGTCATCCATATATTACCTTTGGGTCAATGTCTGAGGATCCCAGGGTGGTGGGGGAAAAGACATGGGCCTATTCACCAAACTAATCGACCCCAACTTTAAGGGGGGGGGGAAGTACATGATTGATTACTACTACCAGCTATTGGGGTGGCGATTAGGATGCTGGTATTGAATACCAGAGATTTATGGCGGTCTGAGTAAGTGGGGTTCGAAATATTGAACATGATGGGATTTGGAATGGTAATCGTACTGAAAAATATCTAGGGAACTCGGGATGTGGCCAAGAAGAAAGCGAATGCAAACCATATGAAAAGCCCTACTTGGATACATCAACTACTGCATTTTGCCGTATTCGCTGTGTGGAGTGAAAGTTGTTACAATGATGATGTGCATCTCATTCAATGGAGGAGAAAGTGGGGAGATCAGAGCAGTTCCTTCAGGGAGAGCGTGGCATCACATCAATATCAACGTCATGAAATATAATTTGCAGGGGTATTGACCCCCCTATTTACATCGAAAGCAAGAGATATTGAAGGTTTCATGTAAAATTATCGTGAAGTTCAATTATTTCATCCAATCTTTGATGATAATGTGAGAATTAATCAAACCTTGGATCTTCAGGGCTTTGGTAGGGTCTTGCCAGGACAAAGCTCGGGAGTTGAGGTTGGGTTGTTTAAAAGAATCGGCTGGCTTAGCGGGAACGCTAAACCCTTTTTGTCAAATGCCAACGATGGCATCCGCCCGGATTTTCCTCTGCAAAAGTTTTGTGTTGTGAGACTTGGGAGTAGAATGATCAAGTCATGATTGATTTAGTAGAAATGTCAGCAACGACAATATCATTACGGATGACTATTTGAAGGAACGATTCATGATTTCAAAGTATATTCAACGTCATCTTCATCACCCCTGAATCTGGAGAAAACCCTCTTTCCAATGTCAATAAACCACTATGCACCACATAACACCCCAATACAGCTTGAACAAGTTGGAATTACCTTCAAGAGCTAGTAGAAAATCGATAATAAAGAAGAATAAATACATCCGAGGACCTTTCAGCACTTCCCGAGTCCTTGGCAAGTAGGCCTAAATTCGAGGAGCATGTCATGAGAAGCGGCTATTAGTTAGAGATATTTTCTAGAAATCCTATACTCAGGGTTATTTGGTCAAATGGAAAGATAATTGTATATACATACATTCATATCGTAGAGCTCATCTCTGGCTACATATTGAGCATAAGAAAGTTGTTTAGTCCATGAGGTTTAGAAATTCTATATCTCTTGATAGAAATGTATACGGCTATGGGTCGCAAGTTCTCGAATCGGTCTCCGTTCTCACTAGCCCGCATCCTTGTCACACGCTACGCTAACACATCCTCCCGACCTTTTCTCATGTTCGTTCTTCTTTTCCAAATCCACTTCTTCTTCCTCCTCTTGTTAACTCTGACAACGCGTAACTATCAACAAATTTCATCAACCACCAACTCACCACATTGATTCTACGAGCTTGTAGGATTTCTTCATCACGTACCGAGCCCCCCGGACGCGTCTGGAGCTATATCTGTAAGTTTAGAGATTGATATGCTTCCACAAATAACACCCAAGCTGTGAAAGGGCAAGTCAGCTAGTCTTTCTACCACGCTCCAACTCCACGTCACTGTCAGATCAATTCACCACCAACTTTTTAAACTTTTTAAGCGTCACAGTAGTCTGGCGCAAAGCGTCTTGCTTGCTCTATGGAGGGGTATATCAAATACTAACATTCTTTTTCCTTAGGATCTTCTACATGGTCAGGGCTATTTGACTATAACTAACTCTCACAATGGTAAGCTGTTCCTTTCCGTCTCCTCAAAACTTAAAAATATAACTAAACTCTTTAGGTTCTCTTTAAGAGGAAGCCAGTACAATATGCACCAAAACCGGAAATTGAGAATGAAGACACAGAGGTATGGACTTCATTTGTCTGAATTTCTATCCCTATGTACGATGACTAATAAAAGTCATAGGTCTGGGTGATTCCTGCTACTGGAGAGTATTTCTTAGACTACGAAGATTACTTAAATCGGTGAGTTTGACTAAATTGCCCCTCACTGTCGACCCCTAGTGGAACACGCTAACAGAATAAGAATGGATTTCTACAAACAGGTTCGAGACTTTCCCAACCACAGCTAGCTCGCGACATTTACTAACTAACCCTAGCGTCGATTTATTTGCCAAATCTCAGGCCATTCTGGTCTATCATTCTTTGAGGCACTTAAGAGTGAGGTACGGAATTCTTTATATCGCATCGCGCTAGTGAGGAGGAGGGCTAACCTATTATATAGTTGGCAGGTGCGCAAGAGGTCGAAGAGGCATTTCCAAACGCATTGAAGCAGCCAATCCTAAGACGTGTACAATTCCAAACCATTTCTCGAATCGATACCTTGGTGGACACGATTTTCGAAGAGTTTAGGTCCGATTATTATCCTGGAGAGGTCGTCACAGTTCATGTGGTTACAGGCGATCGACTTACTGGTACCGTGAGAGAAAAAACACATTTTGGAAGCAAAGTTCTGCCGGATGGCACACTGAGCGCACCTTTCTCAAGATATTTTGTTAGCCTAGACGGTCGACCAAACGAAGAGGCAGTAGTGGACGACGCTCATATTACGCGTGACCGCAAGATTTTCACAAAACAAGTTCTGCGGTCTTTCATTAAGAAAACTGTTACGAGGGAGGCATGGACCGGTGCGCCTTGGTTGGTGAAGCACGATGTGGCCGCCATTTATAATATCGACATTAGAGTTCCTCCGCATCTTCGATATGAGAGTAAAGCAGCGGAAAGAAAACAAAACCAATCTCAAAAAAAGATCGGAGCGACTGATTTTGATGGTATGGTTGGTAGCTTTCACGGAGGAAATGGACCACAAGCTAGACTCCCGGAGTTGAAGCCAGCACCCAAGAGCCACAAGAGCAAGCAGCAACAGTCCCAACTGGCAAAGAGTAAGCAGCAGCCATCTTTAGACCCTGCTCCTTTGAATTTTATTCCTACACATTTCCCTCCTCCCCATCCCCACTTTCAAACCCCTCCGCAAATTCCATTCAATTCTCATCCCCATGCTCCTCCCTTCATGTCTCACACCTTTCAAGCCAATGGGCCACCACAACAAGTGGGACCTCACTTCCAAAACTTCCACAACTCTACCTTCGCGTTTGCGCCTCTTGCATCCCTTCCTCCGGCTCCTCCACCACCACCGCCTATCAAATACCCAATTGAGGATTTGGAAGTGGCCCCTAGAGTTGATGGACCGAAACGACCCGACCTTAAATACTTTTCGCAAGATAATCCTATGATCTGTGGAAGACCAAGCGCCGAGGGTAATGGCATTCATATGTCATCCATTGGCCAATTACTAGAAACATGGGACACTTTAAATGTCTATTGTCAAATCTTCAAATTGGACTCATTTACTTTTGATGATTTCGTTGAAGCATTACAATTTACGTCAGAAGATGTAGACTGCGAGTTATTCGTAGAAATTCATTGCGCGGTTTTGAAGATTTTGGTAAATTCCGATGCCGATGATGGAAAACTACAGGTTCAACTACCTGAATTGGAAGATTCAGACGATGAGGATGAAGATTCTATAGAGGCTAGCGCTGTGCCAACACCTACACCAGAACCAGAGCCAAAACCCAAGGGACGCGCCACTAGAAGTAGTCTGGCAAAAGCTGAGGCGGAAGCTTTACAGAAGGCAGCCGAGCAACCCCCGGAAGAACCAGCTGGACCAGTAAATACTCACCGCGCAGCCGAGATGGAAGATAGCATTGAATGGATCGAGAAGTTAAGAAAGCGTGACTTCAAAAATGGTGGTTGGGAAGCTATCATGGTTGGCCTGTTACATCAACTTTCGAAAGATGAGAGGTATTTTGCTGATTGCGAGGCACTTCTTGTTCAACTCGCCCCTCTCAACATGGAACCGACACAAGAGACTGCTCGTCTTCAATATGCCAAACTTGACGTCAACCTTCGTATCAAGGCTCTTCAAATCATCTGCATGCTTACTGCCGAAACCAGGGCAATTCGTGGGTACATGGAAGAAAGTAGTGAACATATGACGATGCTTCGAAAGGAAAAGATTCAGTTCCAGCGCACTAGGAAGGATGCGTAAGTGTTTTCAGTATTTTCTTGATAAATTGCTAACTGAATTAGACATGATGCTCTTAAGAAACTCAACGAAACGCGAAAAGCACTTGAACCACCCCCTGAACCAAGTCCTGCGCCAGTTGTAGAGAAGGCTGCGGAGAAAGAAGCTTCAGCTAGTGTCAATGGAGATGTGACTATGCACGATGTCGAGGAAGAAGTTCAAGATTCTCATGGTGATGAAATTATGGACTCAGATGAAGAAGCTCCTCCAACCCGATCATTACGTCGTGGACTTGATCGAGCAGCCGAACGAAAGCGCAAGCGTGAAGCTGAACAGGAGAAGAAAGCAAAAGCAGAGGCAGAACCTAAAGCGCCGAAACAATCTAAGGCACTCACAAAGGTTCTTAAAGACATACAAAAATTACAGGATAAGATTAAGGAGTGCGAGGAAGAAATTGCCATACTCGACAATGATCTTCGAGAGGCCGATTGTCCTCGTACTCGTGTACTTGGTAAGGATCGATTTTGGAATCGCTATTATTGGTTTGAACGCAATGGTATGCCATACAGTGGTCTTCCTACAAGCTCTACTGCTGATGCTGGATATGCCAACGGATGTATCTGGGTCCAAGGACCAGATGATCTTGAGCGTGAAGGATTTATCGAAATGCGACCCGAATGGCAAGATGAATATCGATATAAATTCAATATGACGGTACCGGAACGGAAGGTTATGGAAGAAGGAAATACTCATGTATTCAATGCTCATCAATGGGGATACTATGAAGATCCTGATTCAGTTGATGGTTTACTTAATTGGCTCGATGCTCGTGGCAATAACGAGTTGAAACTTCGAAAGGAACTTCAACTTTACAAGGACAAGATTGTTACTCATATGGAAAAGCGGAAGGAATACCTTAACCCTAGCGATGAAAAGAGTGTTGATTCAAGTCATAAACGAATGTCGACTCGTGGAAAACAACAACCTCATGTTGATCATACAGCTCATCGATGTTTATCTTGGCGTAATAATACAGCGATTAGTGAATTGGGACATCTACATTCAGATCAACCACGAAATCGTAAACCAGCTAAGAAAGCGGCTCCAATTTTACCACCAGCGATTGAGGAAGAGAGACAAACTAGAAGTGAGGCGGCGAAGAAACAGAGGAAACGTTAAGAATGCGAAGTTTACCATTGATTAAGGATGTTAAATCAAGAGTATATCGAGATACCTATTGTTACATTGAGGTGTTTATGATTTTTTTTCCCCCAAAGCCTTGAGCATGGTGTTATTTGGTCTGCTGTGTTTTTGGGGGGAGTTATGGGTTTTGACTTCAACATTTGAAATTGAAGTATGGAAATTAAAAATTACGGACTTGTGTGCATATTATGGTAGTTTACAAAATGGTTGTATTTAGATGGCTTGGAAGGGATATTTGAGCATGGAAGGTATGGAAAGAAAGAATGCATTGCTTGCATTGTGTTGTGTTGCATTGGATTGGGTTGGTTGCATTGGGACGGGATGAATTGAACTGGAGTGGAGTGAGTTTAGTGAATTTTATAGCTTGGAATTGAGGGAGTGGATGATAGGGGATGGAGAAGAGAAGTGAAGTGATACTGGTGATTGGTATGAGTAGATGATTAAATAGATAGATAGATATACCAAGTATTGTATTATACTGTAGTAAGTATTATAAATACTCAAGATTTAAATATCTGATTTAAGTATATAAATTTTTTTATGTATTTTACTTTATAAGATCTTTAATTATATAATCAATTAATTATTTATAATGAATTGAAATGAAATGAAATGAAATGAAATGAAATGAAATAAAATAAAATAAAATAAAATAAAATAAAATAAAATAAAATAAAATAAAATAAAATAAAATAAAATAAAATAAAATAAAATAAAATAATGTCACACTCAAGAATACTGGGTAAAGTATCTTGTATTAGAAAATACTAAGCTAAGGAGAAAAGAAGAAGGAAAACAAGAGTAGAGAGTTTTCCTATGATTAAATACAAACGGGGCATGCCACGTGACCCGGAGGTGTGAGGCGTCACAAATAAAATAAAATAAAATAAAATAAAATAAAATAAAATAAAATAAAATAAAATAAAATAAAATAAAATAAAATAAAATAAAATAAAATAAAATAAAATAAAATAAAATAAAATAAAATAAAATAAAATAAAATAAAATAAAATAAAATAAAATAAAATAATTATATTTAAAATTTAAGATTATATTTTTATTTTTAACTTTTTAAAAAAATCAACAAGAATAAATTAAAAAAATATATTTATTTGTTAAAATGAATGGTTCCTGCGTAGCACGTGCACAGGGCACTAGTCCTATTAGGACTAGATTGAGAAGCTCTCTGTAGGAGAGCTTCTGTTACGACGGGCTACACAACTACCAAGACACGTGATCACAAATGATCAGTAGTGATCATTAAGGATCACTAAGGATCACGATATAGGTGATCACTGGTGATCATGAAGGATCACCAGTAATCATAGAAGCATGAAGGACTATATAATCAAGATGGATTTCCTTTGTATAGAGCTTCGTGCTCAAGATCAATCATTTAGTATACTCTACTATTAGTTACGAATTGCATATCATTATTGTCATTACTTTAAGTCCCTGCTTGACGCCTAGTTATAAACCTACTTCGAGAGCCTAGAGCACTTCCACGTGATCTAGACGGCAAACCTCGTAACAGCTTCGTACTTCCGTAGAACTTAGAAGAGTGATTAATATACTAGACCAATATTACCTCAGTTCTGCCCTATCAGCCTCCCACTATTCCCTGTGTAAGGTCATTCCTTTTAACATTATTTAAAATTATAAATAATTTAAGTAAAAATAAAATTTTATTATTTATATCTTTTTTTTTTTTTTTTTTCAAAATTTCTCTTTTTTCTTTTTCCCAAAAAAAAATAAAATTAAATAAATTATTAAAAATATTTCAATAATTAATGAAATAATAGCTTTTCAAATTGCAGAGATTTTGTCATGAATTCAAATTCGAATGGGTGGGTGGGTGGCTGTGCGACCCTTTTACAATCCTGAGAATTGTTTATCTTGGTCGTCGTCTCCGAATCCAGTAGAGCTGGGTTTATCTCTACCATATCCACTCGAGGTTATCTGATCATTTTCGCCATAATCTCCAGAGCTAGACTTTGTTGTTCCATAACCACTGGAGGTGCGATGGGTAGATTCTAGAATTCTTATTTACATGCTTGGAAATTTGAAAAATCTATATTAATTTATGGTATTTGTAGTGATAGCTATAATTAGCTGTAGCTATTTACTCCCTAACTACCCAACAAAACCATCTACTTCCCATTCGCCATCATCGGTACCGGCGCCTGTATCGACGTCGACGCCAACATAGAAGCACCCGTCACGGAAATATCTTTTCCCGTACCTATAATACCCGACGTCACGGGTACATCTCTCTCACCACCTTTCAAAAATCTTCCCGGTACACCTCTTGCTGCTACCGATGCATTTCCCACATATGCACCTAGTAATTTACTCCATCTATATTCACCTCTTCTTAATTTTTGAATTTCCTTGTAGGCGTAGGAATTTAAATATGGGAGACCTGTTTTTGGATCGCGGAATTTGGCGGGGTAGTGGGTTATTGCGCAGAGGGTGTGGGATTTTGATGAGGGAGTTTTGGTTTTGGCTGGGTAGGTGGGGTTAGTAATGTATGTATGTATGAGGGGGTAGGATGATGGGTAAATGGATGAATAGTAGGGAAATGATATAGACTTACTAGGAGCTTTAGGAAATGTTTGATTAAACAAAATCCTTGTTTGTATATCTTTATTTTTAATTTCTTCTTCATTGAAATTTGTCAAGATGAGACAATTCCTAAGCGCATATTCCGTGACAGGTGGTTGTGGAGGAGGTAGAGGAGGAGCTGAAGTATAAGGAGAATAATGTTGAGAAGCGGTAAAAGAGAAAGGAGTTGTTTGAGAAGGCATTAAACGAGGATAGTTTGTATTCGGAGGTTGAAAACTAGGAAGAGGTTTAGAACTATCAAGGGATGGAGGTTGAAGGAAGAATGGAGGAACGGCGGATGGTGTTTGGTGAGGTATGATTGGAACGGCGTGATTATGTGATTGTGGAAGTTGAAGTGGTCCATTGATATGAGGAACGGCACCGGTAGTTTGATGTGGTGGTTGAAGTCCACTTATATTTGGGACAGCTCCAGAAGTTTGATTGGGTGGTTGAAGGATGCTGGTGGATGGCTGAAGGATGCTGGTGGGTGGCTGAAGGATGCTGGTAGGTGGTTGAAGGATACTGCTAGATGGAGGAATGGTTGGTAGTTGTGGTGGCTTGAGAATACTACTAAGTTGTGATTCTGGATGAGGAGGATGCAGATTGCCATCAGAAATCATTGATGTAGATTCCTGCTTCAATGAAACTCCATCTTTATCTGCATCACTTGTAGCGATTCCCGAGGCGATTCCAGGTATCGAATCCTTTCTATCACTAACTGGCGCATTGGCCACAGCCGAGCCTTGAATAGTACAACCTTTCAAAGTAGTTGATTCCGGTGATCCAGGTTCATTTTCATCCTCCATTTCCCCAGTCTTTCTCTTCTTCGACTTTTCCTTAGTTTCATCCGATTTGAGTTTCTTCGATCCAATTGCAATTAATTTTCCTCCTACCCATGTCGCGCATCCACTCCACCAGGTAATAACAGGACCTTCTAATTTTCTATTATGCAATGCCGCCAATTTTAACCTCTGTTCTTCTTCCCTTTGTTGTTCCGCTTCTTCCCATCTACTTAAACTCTTGGAATTACTCTTTTCCACCCTTGCAGCTTCTGCCAATCTATCTTCTTGTGTCATGGCTGGTTTCCTTGCGGCTTCTTTTGCTGCAGCGGCTTTCTCCATATTCGCCAACTGTTTTAACCTCTTCTTCTCCCGATCTATCATTTGCGCATGTAACTGTTCTTTACTTTTTTTCGTAGTACCACGAGCCGATGCTCGAGTTGGCGCATCTTCTGGAGTTGGAATCCATGAAGCGCGTTCGGACTTTTTCTTTGGTCTTGGAGCAGGCTTGGAGGGAGTCGTAGGATCGATCTTAACTCTCTTTTTGAATATCTTTGGTATACCATCATTCATCTTCCGTTTCTTTGCCAATCGTTCTGCCTTTTCCTTCCGTTGTAACTCTTTCTCCCCTTCAAGATCATCTGCGCCAGCTGCAGGTCCTTCATCATCATCATCATCAGAAGAATCCATTTGTACATCAGAATCGGCCTCCACATCAACGAATCCATGATCTTCCTCATTTTCATCTTCTGCGAATAAAAGTTCTAATTCATCATCCGGTTCTTCTTGTTGTAATAAAGCATTCAATCGATTTCCTGCAGTTGAACGTTTTTGTCGCGATGTAACCATCCATTCAACTTCTCCTTCTCCGCCATTTTGTTCACTGTCACTACCACTGTCGTCGTCGGATGGATTATCCTCAGTTCGCATTGGGGTATCCTCATCGATATCGTCTGCCATTTTTATTGATTTGTTTTGAATACGCCGTCGCAGATATGGGAGAGAGTATTATCATCGCCTTTTTCATTCACTGCCGAGCTTTTGAAACGCGACACGCTTCTCGCGACGGTAACTAAAATGCGATTGTAATTATTGTTGTTGAAGAAGCTCTCGGATAAATCTCATTATCAAATCAATAAAGCGGAATAATCTTAAGCCGGGCCTTCCCGATTGAGTTAGGTAAGTCGCACATGCTTATCTTAAACAGCGCCGGTTTATGATTAAAAAGCGGAAGCCAGTAAAGCGGCGGGAGCGATCAAAAGATCACCCGAAGAAGGTGCGTACATAGGGTTGGGCCGCAGATTCGTTTCCGGGCAGGGCAGGGCACAAGTTACGGCAACCTGACGTCACATGATGCACCTTTCTTTCAAAGTTTGGTACAGCAGTACGACTTACTGCGTATGAATCCTTGTTATCATTCTCGCTATCTACCGACCGGTACTCGGTATTACTTTGAAGATACTCTGTATACTGCACTGCGTACAATCCTGCGCCTACAATACGATTTTGAGGACACTTCTCCTCAAGCCTTTTCATTTATAAATAGAAATTCTTAGATGGGTCAGGAGTTTGATAAAACTTGCTCGATATTTTACCTGAAAATCATCGTATCATTCATGCAAAAATTTCTAGAAGAACCATGATCTCAAACCTTGGCATTTCGCAAACATCACGTTTTCTTCGAGGAAAACCCTCTATTTCGATAGTAATGATGCTAAAGATGGAAATGACTTTGAAAAGCATCGCAGATAGCACAGTGGTAAAGTGATAGGCTAAATACATATCACATCAAGTATGAATGTCGCAATGAAGTTGTTTAACGGTTCCAGTGAAGCTCATCAAGTAAATAAAGTGCTTTCAAGGGCAGATGACAAGGCTGTAAAAGATTTCCATTTCTAGAGTTGAGTGCGGTTGGAGTTGCTCATGGCATACTTAATGCATTCTTCCCATGCTATACTTGGTATGTACGCTAAGGTTTCAAAATGAATCAATCAGCAGAAACAGATCAATCAGAGATGAGAGAATATGCATCATCAAGATGAACTTTACCAGCCACGATTATGAAAATACCAATCAACAGTGCCATTGGACATGTATAATTGAACGTATGGGGGAAGGTAGATGAAGATCAAAACTTTCAAATGAAGAATTCCCACGCCATTGTCACACTCAACTGCCAATTTTTAAGGGGTAAGAGTACGGCATATTCGGGACAATGGAAAGCTACCTACTGAGTAGTCTAGGTACCGATGTGAGAATGTAAGTTGAATCATGGAGAGATCCGAGCAATTAATCTCGACTTCTTTTTTGGACTGATGTGCGTGCGTGGACCAATAGTTATATAAAACAAGCCAGAGATCAATGCATTACACTTCAAAGTTCAGCGCAGTCACGATGGCCGAAGCGATGAAAGAACATTGATACAACCGGTGAACTTTTCTAGGAAAAGGTCGGAAGAGGTAATAAGCATCAAACAAATGTTACGTTAGAACGGATAGGAAAATATCTTCTAGATGATATTTTTGAAAAGGGGAAATATAGGTAGGTAGGGGAGGTTACAGTACATATCGTCATGGGAGAGAAGTCATTGGTGTAATAATAAATGCAGGATGATTGAATTGTGACACTGCATCAATTTCGTACCTTAAAATCCTGATACGGCCCCCAATTATTTATAGAGGCTGATTTGATAAGACTGGATGGATGAAGAGATAAACCTAATAGAACGCCAGTGTTTTGATAGGATGCAAGGAAACTCTAAGGGTAATGTAGATAATGAGATGGTGAATGAGCGAGTACAGGGAAACAAGGCTGGCTAGGTATTTGCAGATGAATAACTAATAATGGTTTTCGCAGTCAGATGGCGGTTACTACGTATAGAATAATGACTGACGGGTTACCAGCTGCACGAGTGAGTGTTTTGATATTCGGAAATATATGTACCTGATATGCGGTGAGATGTTATTTTGAGAAACTCATGCAGTAGATAGGTTATAAGAGGGTTTGATGTGATGTGATGTATATGTACAAAAGTGAGCCCTCAAGCTATAGAAGATGAATTAGATTTCTGAATGATAACTTATTAGTTACTGGAGTAGAAAGATTTATTAGCACATCACTTTGACACTATCTAGTGAACACCTAAGTCATGGTTGACTTGGCTATGGGGTAATGATCTGTGATGGCGTTTTCTTCTCTTTTTACCAGAGATTATTAGTGTCCGTTCTCAAGCTTGGTACTCCGTATAATATCATTAACTGATGATTTGCAGTTAAACAATCATCTAAAACATATGTATTGCTTACACTATTAAAGCCAATTTGTTTGAAGCAGATATGTATGTCGAGCTATAGATGTAAGACGTATACTTTCGTATATCCTTGGTGCTTTTTGCTCTTTGTCTAAATGGAACAAATGGAACTAATTGAACAAACTATACTAATGAAAGAAGCGCAAGAGAATAGCCAGCTAGTCATATATGTAGAAACATCAACAAAATCCGAAGCTCTGAAATTATTTTGCTATTCTGCTGGATGATATCTTTTCCTTGTATCTGTATTAATTACCTAGGTAAGATGTAATTTTATAAAATCTAATTTACGCATTCACTTGCTCGCTCATTCGCCCACTTACCCAAATTTACCTATCCATCTACCATTGATGTAAAACTAATCGACGCTATACTAACCTTTAACTTTCGTACCTTATTCTTGTACCTGTGAGGATCTCTCCATGACCTCTTTCGTACCTCTCTCGTACCTCTCCCGTTCCTCTTTGGTCCCCTCTTACCCAGCTCTTACTAGCCTCGTTTGTTTCTCGTACCAACTCTGGCTTAAGCCCTTCGTTTGGCAACAGATACATTAATTATTTCCAAATAGAATCCGTCTTCGCACCATCTCTCCATCCCATCCAAGCAAGTTTCAGCACATCGCACTAAACTTCATAAGCGAATACCCTTCCTCGAAAAAAGACACTCGGTCCATCTCAACAATCCATGATATCTCTCTTTCATCCTGCCCTTCACCTCCTCCACCATACATACATACATAGTAGTCTTACGTCCAACTTACATTTCACTTACGCATCATTCCCTCCCTCTTTTTGTATCTCAATCATATTTCGTCTCTCATGTCAGCATCTCTTCTTTTGTATTAATGAAGGTTTGTATATTGAAACGGAAACTCTCAAGTCAACCATTATCGATAGAGCCATCCTTTCACGAAACCCTTTTTCCTCCAAAGTTCAAGTCCACTTTACGAAATCCTTCCAAGCTGTAATTCAAGCTCAATCAGTCTCAAGCATCCTTCTCTGTCAAAGGGACTTTGTACTTCACAGGACGACCGAACCCCTATCGGATCATAATCCTTCCTTCAATTCAATCGACGCTTTCAATTTCAAAGTTTTCTCTCTTGCGAAAAAGTCATTGATTTGACTCATTGAAGAGTTCGTCAATTTAATACATCTCCATCGTCTTGACAACTCGTCCGAACCCTGCCAACACAGTCTTTACGAAGTATTCAGATCACTTACCTAAACGGTCATACTATTTACGTTTCTCATCGACAATTTAATCTGCCGAGTCAACATCAAAACTGTTCTTTAAACTAGCTCGTCTTGACGCGATTACTAGCGCCAAATTTGATATCAGGACAGACATCAACAAGAGAGCTTGACTCGGAACCATACCAATCTGCCATCTCTCGTGTCAGAATCGAGAGATTGTGGCAGACGGGATAATCTATAATGTCAAATAAGAGATCTGATCATCTCAACCTTGGCCATTTACCCCAGCCAGCCGTCGGTTTTCCTCGCTCGGGCTCTTCAACTTCCAATACATCCCCCACAGAGGCTTCAATCGGAGGCGCTCCCTTGAGATCACCATTTGGTCTACCGTTAAACTCCGCAGGCAAAATGGCCAGTAATACGCGGTCGGGAGCTGGTTCTCCATCGCATGAACTTGCTACACAACAAAGTGCCAACAGGTTATTCCCCACAAAGAGGTATGATAACTCGATTGAAATTTAGTATGATACAATGGCTTATTCAATCATTTACAGGGCACGAGAGATTCAAGCACAAGAAGGTGGGTTCAGTAATAGCAATGTATGGGGACCTCCAACAAGTGGCAATTCTACTCCGCTGCGAGAGACTATACTAGAGTCCCCCACGGATGGCTTTCCCGATTTTGCCCAATTGCCAACGGTGGAAACCACGCCAGCACGACGAGCTCGTGCTGGCACACTTCCATCTCGTTTTTCGTCTGGAGGACCTTTGAATACAGCTCCAGGAAGTCTTGCAGCGAAGACGTCGAGACCCACACCATCTTCGACTCCATTCAAATCTCCATCGCCAAACCTCAATGATTTGGGTGATCCGTCTACCAGCACAGGTTTGTTGAATCGATTACGTTCTGGTTCAACCCCTCAAAATCCTCAATATAAAAGTTCGCCGTTCGGTCACTCAGGGCTCTTCACTTCAAGTTGGGGCTTGCCTTCGGGCGGCCGTGATCGGACCTCGACTTTGCAAAGTATTGCCAGCCAGTCGTCTAATGGTCCTAGTTCACCCGCACAATCTTCATTCTCGAGGGAAGGAAACAATGATAACGAAATCAGAACTCTTGATTATCTGGGCCTCGCGGAAACCCCACAACCTCCTCGAGCTCAATTGGTAAATCCATTGTTTGCCAATATCCTCGATATCAACAGGCAATCAAACCGTTTTCGCTCTTACTCTGTCAACGCGAAGGAGAAATATGCCGAAGATGAGGAGGATGATGACTATGGTTCGGGTAGCATGACACCATACGAACAGGCACAGGCAGCCCAACAAGTTCAATTACAGATGCAAATGGCTGCCACCAATGCTGCGATCCAACAGCACAACCTCGCCGTTCAACATTACGCCAGCCAAGCAAACAGACCAAGAGCCAGGACTGCCGGCGTTCTTGATTCACCAAATCCATCAAGATTACTTCGTGACTATTATCCTTCAGCGTCTCGTCTTGGTAATACCATTACTGCCTCAGAGCTGAGAGAGGCGGAAGAATTTGCAGCCCTTCCTGAGGCCGTCGCCGCGATGACTTTGGGACGTTCGAACAGTCGAAACGAACACCTCTCCCCCAACGACAATTTGGAGGGACCAACCAGTGCTCTTTGGCTCGGAAGCATTCCATCATCAACCACCACCTCTACTCTCACGGAAATGTTCAAAATTCATGGTCCAGTTCAGTCCGCAAGAGTACTTACGCACAAGAATTGTGGGTTTGTCAACTTCGAACACGTTGATAGTGCCATAACAGCAAAGGCATTGATGCATGGAAAGGAAATTTTCCCAGGAGCAGGACCAGTCAGAATTAACTTTGCTAAACCTGTATCTCCAGCAACGACGCCAGGTCCTGATGGAGCATTTCCTTCTCCAAGCCCAGATCCTTTCTCCAAGGGTCTGGACTCGGGTGCAAATGCTGCTGATACCAATGGTGCTCCTGGAGTTATCTCAAGACCTGAAACTACTGAACCTCCTTCGCCAAGGCTAAGAGACATCAAGAACGATATTTTGAGTATTGTGTCCGAGTTTGGAGCCACCGCAGAGGACAAGGTTAAGATTGGTCAAAGTCTGCAATCATCCATTTCATACGACAAATGGCAGTCTGAGATTCCAGCAATTCCAGAACCCAGTCACAGCAGAGTTCACGATGCCCCTAAGCTCAGAGACATTAGAAAACGAATCGACAACCAAAGCTGGTCACCAGCTGAGATCGAAGCTATCGCTATGGAAATGCTTGAGGAAGTTGCCGAGTTATCATCTGACTACCTAGGAAACACCGTTGTCCAGAAATTATTTGAGCACTGCTCAGATGATACTAGGGATCTTATGCTCGAGCGAATTGCTCCCCACATGGCGGAGATTGGTGTGCACAAGAATGGTACTTGGGCTGCACAGAAAATCATCGACGTATGCAAAACCCCCAAGCAAATGAGTATGATAGTTCAGAACCTTGCGCCATATACTGTGCCGTTGTTTCTTGATCAGTACGGAAATTACGTTTTGCAATGTTGCTTGAAGTTTGGTTCACCTTACAATGATTTCATATTTGAGGCTATGCTTAGCAAAATGAAGCCTATTTCCGAAGGACGATATGGTGCCAGGGCTATGCGAGCTTGTTTGGAAAGTCACCATTCTACTAAGGATCAACAACGAATGTTAGCGGCCGCCATTGCGTTACACAGTGTTCAATTGGCTACTAATGCTAACGGTGCTTTGCTTTTGACTTGGTTTTTGGATACTTGCACATTCCCACAACGTCGATCTGTTCTTGCACCTCAACTCGTACCAAACCTTGTCCACCTTTGCAAGCACAAGGTAGCATATCTCACAGTGCTGAAAGTCATCAACCAAAAGTTAGAGTCTGATGCGCGCGATCAAATCTTTCAAGCATTGTTCTTTTCAAAGGATGACGAAACTCTCGAGGCTATCTTATCTGATCAAGCCTGTGGTGCTACTTTGATTTTCAAAGTACTTACTACTCCATTCTTTGATGAGTCAATTCGAAGCAAGGTGGTTGAGAACGTTCGTAATGTTCTGATTCGCCTCAAGGCACAACCAGCACAAGGCTATAAGCGCTTGATGGATGAGGTTGGATTATCAACTCGTAACGGTAGTGCCGGACCAAGCAGAGAGCATAGTCAACAGCAAACGACCGATCGCCCTCGACCTGGGTCACAACAAAGTCAAGCCATTGGACAACATGCACCCCAATCACAATATGGTGCTAACCAATACTACCCACAAATGCAACAAAATCCACAAATTCAGCAAAATGCATATGATATGAATATGAATATGCAACGAACTGACAGCATGGATTCCAATGTTACACCCTATCAACAATACGCACTCCCAAGCTCAATGTTCCCACAATCTGCAGGCATGATGCAACCAATGAATATGCAACAGTTGCAATACCAAAACATGGCACGAGGTACTCCTCCAATTAACAGCTTCTACCCTGCCATGCAATCAGGGTTTGGTGCATTTGGTACCCCACAAATGACGGATCAATATCGCGGAATGCAAAATGCTAGTCCCATTCAACCACCATCTCAGCAAATGAGCCCTAGCCCAATGGTAGGACAAAACTCATTTGGACCTCCTGGTTTCAATAATATGGGAATGGGAATGGGAGCATATGGTTATGGTGGCTTGCCTGTTAATGGAATGCAAAACTTGCCATATATGCAACAAGAACAAGTTAACAGTCGACGTGGGAGAGTAAGTTAAATCTTTTAGCCAATAGATGATAAAATACTAACTTTGGTAGCAGAGATAAATGCACATATTAGAAAAAGTTCTACCCACTTAGTGGCTGGATTTAGCTTCGCCTCGATCTTTCCTCCAAATACGAGAGGGATCAAGTTTGATTGCTTCTACTTCTTGTCTAACCTGGATGTGGGGCATACTTGATGTTATCTTTGCAAAAGTTTTACGGCGTCTGGTATACTGGGGGCTTTTTTTTCTCTCTACTCTACGAACGATCAACCAATTCCTAGCCTTCACGACCATTATCAAATTTGGTGTGGACAGATGATTTTGCCCCGGTGACCAAAATCATCTTCTGACAAACCAATTTTATGTTCATGTATACAACACAATTCCGTTCATGTTCATAAAAGATCCATGAGAGTGAGGATTCTTTCAGCGGTATTTATTTCTTTCAGTTCTGCTATGTTGCAAACTTTGAGGTTTGAGCAGACAATGTAGCGATTGTTATTTCTTCTATGATGAATGAGTAATGAGCGGTTAGGAAGGAAAAGATTTTAAGGCGATCGGACGGATTGATGATTTGGAGAGAAGATGATGGGATGAGGAATGAGGATTACTTGGATTGCAACATCCAATTTATCTAAAGGTGTGCGGGGAGTTTTCCCGCAGGGGGATGGGAAACAGATATTGAGAGACCAATAAATGACGTACTATGTACGAGATCATTCACCTCTCAAAATCTATCCAGCTATTTAGCTACCATAGCTAAAAATGAGTTTTGATAGACATGACCCAGCACTTGCTAGACAGGAATCTAGCGATTGCTAGATCACGAGCTCGAAACAAATGAAAAGACAAATATGTAACATGAAGCTGGCTGGTGAAAGCTAGGATATGAAGTGGTGGAATTGGATGGGATGGCGCAATGAAAGGAGGTGTTTGTTTTTCAGAAATTCACAAAAAATATTAAATCTCTTAAAATTTAAAGTAAAGATAGTAACTATAAAATGTATTGTAAAGATTTTTTTTCACTTGATCTTTGTTTGATCTTGGTATTGAATGATGTATGTATGGATGTATGATGGTGAGGACTTTCTTTGTATATTATAAATTTTTTTCTTGAAATTTTTAAAATTTTATATTAAAATAGTAAGGTGTAGTTTTGACTTCTTTTCACAAACTGAAATTTTATATAAATAGACAAATATTGATTGGAAGTTAATTAGGAATTTGATATAGTGAGCATGAGGTTTATGATGAAGGAGAAGAAATTGTATACATGGTGTGTCAATTATCTTGAGGATGTAATATAGATATTGATATTGATTAGATTAATTAATTTTAATAAAACAAAAATGAATAGATCCGTAACGTCTTGGATTCAAATAATTATAGGATTTTATAATTTGAATTGTAATTGACGAGGGAGGACTGAAAATATTTAAATTATTTTAGATTTTGAATTTTTGGAATAAAAGAGAAGTTCTTAAAGACTTTGACTTTCAGTTACGAGAAGTTTGTGTCTAATTTGGCGGTCTGGGTTATGGATATATATGCCAGCAACTAGATTGTATCAAGCAAAGAATAGGTACAAAAGTGATTGAAGTAGGATTACCGCTGGGAGTCTTCGATTCGATATTCTCAATATCAAGTTATACGGAATGATCATGAAAGGATAGTCAATTGTTAGCAGTCTAGTAAAATGGGTTTGGATTTTTAGAACTATGTGCGCTTGAGTGTTCTTACTGACTGAAATGTAAGTCTTAATATCTTCAACGACGGTGGAAATTGAAGTTATTGCTATTGCCTAGGATGTGGTGGTATTGACATGTATGGGTTAAAAAAGCAAAGAAACTCTCTTTGGGACGTAATAAGCCTCAAGACGCGGTTCCACGCTGTATACTGAGCATGATCTTGAGGCTGAATGACTTAACCTTAGCTTCATTCGGTGTTTGTGTGCCTTTGCCACATCGTCTTGCTTCTCTCCATATCTATTCATCAATTAGTTCTAAGTAATTCTCGATAATCGAAATGTCGATATCAGTATCGTGAAATACGAACAAGATGGACGGAAAGTGCAATGGGGAGGCTAATTACGTTACTTCTGTCAAATTTTGACTCGGGCCCGGGAGCTAGGTTAATGAGGAGACTGGAGTTGTTATCAAGACGGGATGGGAAGCGCACTAAGTAGTTGAGTAGGTAGCTGAGGACAACGACTTCTCGTATATTCTCACCAAGACCGATCCACTGTTACACAAAGTGCCATGTCATCATGTCAGGTCAGAATTTCCTCGTGCGTAAGGTTAAGGTTACATGAACTGGGTACACGTGATGATTGATCACCTTACCCCTCATCAATGTCTTAGAACCTTCCACGCCTCGTCTGCATGGCCTCACATCTTGTGTATAGGGCTGAAACATACAACCAATCGAAAGAATCATCTTGTAATCCTATACTTAGCATCACAAACCTGTTCTCCGGGGAAAATATGTCTACGATCTTGGAACACATAATGATTGGATTAAATTCCTTTCATGCTTCTATAAGAAAATGGACTCTTATCAACTTGTTGGTTCGCGGGCCGAAAGTTGGGTTTTTTGGAGCTACGCCGTTGTCACACATAAAGGCTCTATTTTCACCTCAGCTCGGCAAAGTCTCAGAGATGAGGTGAAGCCTCTACAAATGCGATATCGCTAAGGATTAATTGAGAGGAGGCGAGGAAAGTGATGGAGACACGTCATTTCGAGAAATTTTGGGGACGGGTTAGATCCGAAAAATTTGAGCAGGCCTGTGTTTGTTGCCATGTTTGCGGTGTTTGCGGCTTTGCTCGAGAAGGAGTAAGGTACGCTTACCCGGTACTTATGGCGGAAGATACCGATCATTACCTTACCAAAATGAGGATGAAATTCAAAGATGAGCTGTTGGTGCTTACGATAATAGTATGACGATTTACGTCTGAATATCAAAATGATATTCGAATGATCTCGCAACCATTTCTCGTATACATTCTTAGTTTGTCTCAGTAGATTTATCTTTCTTCTCAGCTATAAGAAAACGAGCCTCATTAATTGAGAAAATCCCCAATGATCTAGTGATCGCACGTACGATGTTCGGTGAATAGAGGCTTATTTTAAGCCGGGTCTCAAGCCCAGTAAGAAGTTATAATTACCTATTCTAAGATTTTGACTTCAATACTAAGCCTTGTTAACAACTCACTTCGTATGTAGATGTCAAGTGATATCGTAGCTGAAAATTATTACTTGTGAACTTATGTGTTGGCGGCCTTGACATGAGATTTTGGATAGAATGGGCTTTTTGGAGTCGAGTTGGGTTATTTTGCTAAGTCTTTGATTCGGATACCTGCACGAGCTGTGTTGGTAGGCGTAATTTGAGAAGAACATGGTGAGTGGTGTTTTGATACGAGGATGAGATGGCTATGTGGGATGCTGGTGTTGTTTTTGTTGTTGTTGTTGTTTAGAGTTGATGTGATATTATTAGTAGTACAGATTTATGGGAATAGGTATATAAAGATGAGAAGTTTCCTCTTTTATATTCATCCTCATCTCAGTACATCCTGTCTACACATTACATACAAAAGATCTAATCACCAACCGACCAACCAACCAAATTCCCTCCAGCTCAACACCAAACTCACCAACAAACAACAAGATGCAATTCTCCACACTCCTCACTCTCATCACCTCCCTCGCATTAACAAATGCACTTCCCCTCTCTCCACCCCTCAACACTGAATCCCTCACCTTCCATGGTGCAGCAGGAGCTCAATACACCTTATCCGTTCCTCTCGATGGTTCTGTTACAAGAACTTACAATGCATTAAGCATTTCATCTATTTCAACCAGTGGATTTGATGTTAAGCAGAATTGTAGAATTCATGCTGTCGATTATACACCTGCTCTTGTTGTGAGTTTACACCCTTCATCACCCTAAATTCCTCCTCTCCGCTTCCTCCACCCACTAGGCCATACTTCTCCGCATAGATCAACTTACTAATTCATTTTCATCACAGGAAGGACCAGATAATACCTGGGTAATAGGACCTCCCCAAACTATCATCGATATCTCCTGTACTAGTGGGGGATCTACTCCTTCAGGAACCGTGATCAATATTGAATTAGACGGAGCAGCCGATGCGAAATATTTCATTAGTGTACCTCTTGGTGGTGGTCCAGTTTACACAAGTTAGTACTCTCTATTTCCTATTTATCCTATACACTTTCTACACTTCCCGGAATCTCTCATTCTCACTCTAACCCTCACCCAACAACTCATCTCTCCGTGACTCACCTCATTTCCTCCCCTATCCTCCTCCCAAACCCACAAACCCACAAACCCAAAGTACGAAAGAAAAAAAACTAACAATCCCCAGACAACCCCCTCTCTATCTCCCAAGTCCGCTCTACATATCCCAACATCCCCGCCTGTGCCTTCGATACGGTAGATATCAAACCAGCTTTCGTACAAATCGCCACTGGGGTGTGGAATATGGGTCCTCCTCAAACAGTCAGGAGTGTTTCTTGCTCTGCATAGATTACTTTTTGGAATTCTCTTGCCGCTGAGCTTGCAATTGATGAGTGATGGTAATTAATGAGAGATTGTGCTTGGGAATTTTTTATGGAATGAGATGAGATGCGATGAGATGAATGGAAGAGGGATGGGAGAATGATTTCTTTAATTAATTTCTTTACGTATTGATATTGCAATTGGACGGTCCTTACTTTTGGTATAATCTTAGATAAAGAGAGGTAATGGGATGAAAGAGAGAGAGGATCACTGCGCTGCACAGCCACATGCATTCACATTCTCAAAGGAACTTTTCCTCTACATTTAGCTAGGTTCATACACATGCATACGGCATACAGAGGTGGATTACGAGATCATTATGGGATAATAGATGGATGGATGGATGGATGGATAGGTTATTAGTTTATGATATGATATGATATGATATATGTACACGATCCTTTACGGTATTTAATCGGTTATTTAGCTACTTAGTTATTTATTGACTATAAATAGTAGAACAGAAAACAGCGAAGAATAGAATGATTTTCGCCACTCCTATCTGTCTCTGCAGTTACAGTTTTGATTTTTTTTATTGTGCTAATTAATTCTATATGTGATTCCGGAGAGTAAGGTTAAAGCTTGTTTTGTTGTGGAAATTGTAAGATTCTATTGTATTGTGGTATTGAGTGGAATGATGTAAGGGGTGAAGAATACTTTTTATTAAGTAGAATTTTAAAGATATAAAATTGTGATTTTATGTTTTATATATTAATTATAAGCTAGGATTCAATAGCTAAGATTATAAATATTTGATTAATAATTAATAAAAAAAATAATGACAAATATAGAAATGAAAAAAATCATAAAATATAAATATAGATTTACATTTATATTTAGTTAGTTTTCATTTTAATAATCTATCATTTTAATATACTCATATATAAAAAATCAAACCAAATCAAATCAATAAAAATAAACTTCTCAAGATTATAAAAACACAATCAAAAAATAAAAAGAACAAAAATACTTACCAAAAACCTATCTAATCTTACATCCATAATGATCTTATCCACCTACCAATCATTACACATTACATATCCCAGCACAGCACGTCGAACTCCACACTACAAAATCAATAACCAGCATACGCTGCCGGAATATTGACCGGATGGTTGACCGGAGAGTAATACTCAAATTATCATTTCAGTACTGTACCCCACTAATTATCACCCCACGCCACCCCAACCCCCAGCGCAAAACAGCCGGCCGATAAGTTGTAACAGTAGGTATAATTATGGAACCGGAACCGGAGGATTGTGAAAAGGTAGGCACCTATGATATGATCTCTCATCTAGATCTAGATTTATAGATTATCTCAACAAATACCTAGGTACCTAGGTATACAAGGAAAAATTGTTGTGATTACTCGGTAGGTAATGGTGATAATGGAATATATGTAATAGGTTTTATAGAATCTAAATAGTAACTAGTATAAATAACTTTCCATATCCGAGTTTCAGGAAGGAAGGATTTATATATATGTATAAATTCGAGAATCATTATTTATAAATAGCATCAACTTCCTTTCATTTCCTTTTCACATCCCATCCCATCCCATCACAACTTCTCACTTCCTTCCCCCTATTAACACATAAAACTTTCACCCAACCTAAGCTCACTATCCAACATGAAATCATCATCACCACCACCACCACCAACCAAAAAACCCTACCAAATTCTCTCCTCCCTCAAGAAAACCCAACAACAAAATCGAATTCCCAAACCATGGATACTCCCCTCCGAAAAATATCAACACATAACTAATATAATGGATATGCCTCTTATAAGCGGAATATTAAACGAGACAGAATGTGAAATAACTTCTAAGTACGACGCTACTGCACTTCTTGAGAAATTGAAAGCGGGAGTTTGGACTGTGGAAGAAGTCACGGTCGCATTTTGTAAAAGGGCGGCTGTTGCTCATCAATTGGTTCGTTCGTTCATTTCATCTACTGCTTTTGATTTGAATTTGAAGTCAGGAAAGAAAGATAGAAAGATAGCTAATTTTCGATTCCTTATTACTTAATAACAATAGACAAATTGTCTAACCGAGATATTTTTCCACGAAGCAGTTGCACGAGCGAAGAAACTCGATTTAGGATTCAACACAAAATCCGATCGAAAATCCCTTCCTCCACTATTCGGACTACCTATTTCCCTCAAAGATAGTTTTCAGGTTAGGGGATTGGATACTTCGACTGGATTAGGTTGCTATGTGAATGAACCTGCTGAAGAAAACAGCGCGCTTGCTGCTATGCTGATTGATCTAGGTGCGGTTCTTTACTGTAAAACTAATTTACCCCAGTCAATTATGACAGGCGATAGCGAAAATAATATTTTCGGGAGAACTTTGAATCCGCGGAATAAATCGCTTACGGCGGGTGGGAGTACCGGAGGTGAAGGTGCTCTTCTTGCGTTTCGTGGTAGTATTCTGGGTGTTGGGACGGATATTGGTGGTAGTATTCGTGTTCCGTCGGTATGTAATGGTATTTATGGATTCCGACCTAGCGTAGGTTTGATTCCTCATACTGGTGTAAGAGATCTTACACCGCAGGGAACAGAGGGTGTTCGATCAACGGTTGGACCTATGGCAACGTCACTTCGTGATTGCTCTCTTTTTTTAAAGTCGATACTTCAAGCAGATACGTGGAAGTATGACGGTAGTTCTATCTCAATTCCGTGGGTAGATCTTAAACCTACTCATAAGCTCCGGATTGGTGTTGCTTATGATGATGGTGTCTATACTCCATCACCGCCAGTTAGACGTGGTTTAAAGCAGGTTGTTGATCTTCTTGATGGGAATAAGGAAATTCAGGTCATTAATATCAATCTGCCCGACGTCAAGTCAATTTACCAAGACTTTATAAGTTATATGACATTATCAGGAAGCAATGTAAGTCTATCAATGCCCCGACTTGGTAGGCTTGACTGACCGCAATAGTACTACTACGAACAATTCAAGCGAACAGAGGAGCCACCAATTCCATCACTGACGGCAACTGGCCTATTGAAAGTACCAGGAACGACATTGCAGGGCTTATTTGATTTGAATCACCGCCGAACCGAAGCCGCAAAAACGTATCTCAAACTATTTCGTGACAACGATTTAGATGTGATTCTAATGCCACCGGCTCCGCATACGGCAGTGCCCTTGGACTGTTGGACAAAAGCAGCATACACTAGTTTGTGGAATTATCTCGATTACCCAGCTATCGTGATTCCTGTGGATCAAGTGCAGGACACAGATTTGGTTGATGAATTGGGCAACGCCAAATTCGGTTCGAATGATGAGCAGCTTTACAGTCTGTGTAGGTACCACCTTCTTCGTAATGTATTTTGTGTAGCTCATTCTAACATATGCTGTAAAGATACCGGCCCTGAACACTACAAGGACGCACCAATTTGTGTGCAGGTTGTAGGATACAGGCATAGAGATGAGGCTTTAGTGAATGCGGCAGCTGTACTGGACTCGATCATAAACAAGGTTTAGAGCAGTGTGACATGTCAGACCTAGGCCATTTCCCAACGAATGACGAATTGCTGGCCATGGGATAAACTCTCATGTTTTTTTATCCATTCCTGAAGACCCTTGGTTCTCAGCATAATTATTTTACCCGTTTTATGACCTCTGAAGCCATTTCCATATGCCAGCTGATACGTGTGACAAGACATAGTAAAATTCATCCTTCATACAAATTCCATTAGATCTATCAGCCAACGAAACACGTTGCATTTATAGAATATAACACGGGACATGGTTTATAAATGGAATCAAACCAACGAGTGGTAAGATTCATATCTCGCTCCTGCCAAATTCTAGATAAAAATATCTTCGTCGCCTTTTGTAGAAACTGAGAATAATGGTCGACGCAATTATTCACAAGCTCAAGAATCTTAAAGCGTAGATTCTCCTCTAGAGCTTCAACAGCTGCAATAATGAATGGTAAAGTCACAAATCGCATTGATCTCTTCGTGACTCCTTTTGCCATTTCAAGTTCCATTATAATTTCTTTTGACCATATTTCGGCCTGAGAATCCTGCTGACCAAATGGAAATCGTAATCGGTGACCCAGTAGAAGCGCCCCCAAGCGATATACCTTGGCTTGCGCAAGAAGGTGAATCATTTCTGTCGAATCAAACTGCTCAACTAGTTGATCCAAGTGAGATGGCTGCCATGGCTCCACGACGCAATGGATATCATCTAGCTGCTTTTGTAAACGAGCCATAACATTGACGTCCGTAACATTGATAAGTGAATTGCTAATCACACAAAGATCATGATAGTAAGGCAACAGAGGCAAACAGAGGCCAAGACGACAATCAACAGCAGCAGACAACGGTACCCGAATTCTCAGTATCGGCTTTTGTCGATAAACAAGACAATCCATAGTTTCCAATAAGATAAGAAAGCTCTTCCACGGATCGTTTTGTGCATCAGAAACTGCTGTTTCCACAAATGGAGTTGTTGTGCCGAGACAGTGACGGCAAATATCTGGAACTCCTACACCAATGGCTGAAGATATAGAAAAAGCCAGTAAACCCCCTAAAGCATTGCACAGAACTGCATCTTGTGAAGATAAAACAGGCAGGGAGCGTAATACATCCATAGCCTTTAATATATATTGCACGGTAAAAGTCGTATCCGTGACAATTTCAGTTCTGGATTGCCTCAAAGTTATAGCACATGCAAGAAGAGCATCTTTGAGCAATGGCAGGGCTGCTGAAAACTGGGCGGAAAATAACTGCTGCTGTCCAGCTTGAAAGCTCGGGCACGCAACATATTGACTCAGGCTTTCTGGCTGGCTTAGGAGAAACGTCAATAAGTCCTTTTCTTCTGGTTGCAAGTCCGGAACCATGTTCAAATACGTTTCAATTCTAGGTTGATATTGCTGCTGCAAAGTTTTGGAGTTACTCAAAGCCATTCTGCTCATAGAATCTGTACGATGTACTCTCCTGCCCGCCGGCCGCACCGGTCGTACAGTCAAACACCCTAGCCTCAGCCTATCACATCTTGCACAGCTGACGGAAGGCGACGTGCGCTCGCATCTTTCTTTAAGCTCATAGCATCTATCGCATGCAGTTCTTTTGGGTTTCTTAGTTACAGCCGTATCCATAACGCTGGAAAGATTTGGTTGGTGTTCAATATGTGTGTACAGAATTTAAGGTGATGAATATTTGATGTCCAACATTATCCGAAATTCGCTTAGTCATCATCCAAAATGACACGACAACAGCGAGATCAACCTTTGAATCAATCCCCTCATATAATATTCTATCCATTTCAATTTATCCACTCCCATACACTCAGCCCATGCATCTCATGCCAAATAGCTATTTTAAAACCTTTCCATACAAAAATTAGTGTACCCGTAATCCGACAAAATACTTTGAAAGCACTAGTCCTCCAGAAATATACCCCCCGTGGTCTAAAATTCACCACCCTGAATGACATCATCATCCACAGTGATTGGACTATGAGACTTCGTCGACTCTTCACATATGCCGAAAAATGAAGAGGCTAGGGAAGTGGGTGTAGAGGTGAATTAAATGTATTGATGAATGTACCAGTTAGGTAATAAGTGTTTTTCAAGAAAAGGCTAAGAATGGTTTGGTTAAAGGGGGTTTAAGGGAGCGAATAGTTTATGATTTTTGGAAAAATGTTAGTTCTAGAACTTTCTTTGGAGACTAAGACTAAAAGAGGGTGTTATATCTACGCATCTACGCTATTTTTCTGATAATTGCATTGCTATGTAGAAACGCGGCATGGGGATGGAGCAGAAGAATCGAGCAAACCTTAAAACCAATGCCCCAATACGGGGGGCTTGAATCAATTTGGCATCAAGACTCCTTCTCCGGACTCCCTCTCCCGGTTATCCTCATATCTTTTTCCTTTCCTAGGAACCAACATCCATAGACCAGAAATCGCCACTATTAGCGCCAACACAACCGGCTGCAATGCTTTTACTCCCTTAGCTTGCGCTAGTGCCCCTACAATAAATGGAAATACTGCTCCTCCACTTCCTCCGAACGCAGTCGCAAATCCAACACTCCCGACATGTAGCTCTTTTGGCATGAGTTTCGTTACCAGTACAATAGCTGTTGGAAATAATGGACCGAGAAACATGCCTAGAAGTGCTACTGCGACGGCTGAGACGTAGAATGAAGGAATGAGCCAGAAAAGTAGTTCGAGAACGAAGCAAATTCCGAGGTAGACGAGCACAGATGTGAATTCACCGAGCCAGGCGGTCAAGAAAGCTAGACACATACGGCCGACTGTCATGCCGGCCCAGAAACCTGTGGAGGTAAGGGATGAAGAGAAGGTTGTACCAGAGCGGACTTGGGTCATGAAGGTCACGATCCAACCTCCGAGGGATACTGTGATATTTGTCAATAATGTGAAAGTATGCCGTTGTTGAGAGGAAATACCTTCAGCTCCTACGTAACCAAAGATGAAGCCAGCGAAGATCCAAGTCAATTTATGACTTAATGCTTCTCTAAGTCTTCCTGTCTTGGTATTTGCATCTCGAGGATTCTCTAATGCATATACATGACCAGTTTGCGCCCAGAAGGCCCAGGTAGAGATAATGAGCCCAGTGGCTGCTACTGCTGTCTGTGACTTATCAGTAAACGATCGATAATTGGCGTACAATGGTTTATGACCATAAAATGAGCAACACTTACCATAATATAGTAAAAATAATACCACTCCAATCCCGCTTTAGCCAACATTGCCGCGGAGATCAAAGGTGCAACCGTCCCACCCAATGAATAACAAGCTTGTAAAAATCCCTGCACCTGATTCGCACTTACCATATTACCAATCCACGCACACCAAGCTGCATCCAAAAGTCCATTACCCACTCCCACGAAGATAAACATGACGACGAGAACTGGATATGGGGGATGAAGAGATAATACTATGTAGGAAATGAGATGACACAGTCCTGCGATGATGGCTACACCTCGTTGACCAAAATGCACATGTACAGAATCATTGATTAAGGATGCGAATGTGTAGCCCGCAAAAGGGGAGAGGAAGATCAGAGATATGATGGTGTAGGATAAATGGTAATATTGTTCCAGCTTGATCACGACAACAGGCCTCAGTATAGGACTTGTCGATTGCAAAGGCGTAGATGACTTACAAATGGGATCAAAGCCTTTTCTTGTTTAGTATGCATTTGGTAAATATCGAGTTTGAAGACGAAGAACTTACACCATAAGAACCATCATTCATTCCCATGAGAAAGAAAGCCCAAAATGAAGCTCCCACTCGAAAAACATTCTCGGGGGGATAATTCCAGCTCTGTAAAGCTTCTACAGCGTTTGTGGGTGGAGTTGTATCTTGTCTGATATCTTCGAGATCGGATTCACCTCTTGTACCTGGAACCCAAGGTGAAGAATCATTGGGAAAGGATTGAAGTTCAATTTGAGTAGCAGTCGTTGTCGCCATGATTGATGTAAGACTTACTTTTTGAGTAGAATAATCAAAGTGACGATGTGGATGAGAAGTGCAAAGAACTGGAGAGGTTAACTTGACCATTGATATTCGTTATATACCCACCGTACCCATAATTTTACATACAACACCTCTCGCTATAATCCTCGCGGTTATCTTTTCCGGAGATCCTTAAAAACAAGTTGGAACTATTGTGAATTGGGAATAGTGTGGGGAAGTGGGTCTTAAATCTGTTAAGACCTCGTCGTTGACCAATCATCATCAGAGATAATATATAACAACCTCAAAGAAATGTGATATCACATTCCAGTCTGACTCGCTAATAATTCTTGTTATGTTTTGATTACTACAAAGCCAATGATATATATCTGTCTCCTTAGATGGCATCATAGAGAATCCGGATTTGTGTCCCTAGTTTCCCTGAAAGAGGATGACTTCCTGGTTGAGGTCGATAGGAATTTGTTCCGATGGATATAGGATGACTATAGATGATTCAGGCTCATCTGGTGGATAGTTTGAAAGTAACAGTTTTTCATAACTCCAATTGGCCTGTAACGATATGATTCTTCCCTATGCATCATTGGCATGCTCATAGCTATGGTTTGTACTGCTTAAGATTATATCATATGAAGTTACCCAGATACTTGTCACTAAAAACCATGAATGCGGACCCTCGTAGTACTAGTAATAATATTAATTTTTTATTTAAAAGAACTTTTCCAGAGTGTAAAGATATTTTAAGCTAAGATTCTTATATATAAAATCCTATTTGTATAAAAAGATCAAAATCATAAAAAAAAAGATGTGGAATTTTTGGTTTTAAATTATTATAATTTTAAAAAGACATTTTATATAAAAGCAAAATTAAATAAAAATTTTCTTTATATATAGTGTGACCAAAAGGGTGTTTATAGACCAGCAATTGTATTTAACTTAGAATCTACAGGTGAAGAGCACCTGTAGATGGGGATAGCTACTCTATATATACACAAATGAATGGCCTAGCCGCATTGGCTAGGCAAAAAGAAGTCATATTTATTCCTCCAATGATCTTACTTTACCGATAACCATTGATACCTAGTACTTGTCCGGATCTGATCCTCAGGTCACCTAAATCGCATACTAATCTCGAGTAATCGTATCATGTGTGGACATGGTTAATGTACCTGAGGTTTCTTATATAATAAAGGTGGGAGGAAAGCAGGGATTTCCGTCACATATAGTCGTTAATTATTTGATTATATTCTTCGTATGTTATTAGAGTGGAGATAAGATTATAATTAATACTAAAATATAAGTTGAGTAGCTTAACTTTTGATTTCATGTTAGTGTATACACACACAAAACATAAACCCCCACTTCCTATAGTTTTCTACATTACAGAGAGGTCGAGAAATTTATATGAGTCATAATTTCATCCATTCATCATTCATTCAGAACACATCCGAGTCTATCTAGGTTTAATTATCCTAATAGAACGTTAGCCTAGCCTAGCCCTGTATGTAAAATCACGCCATTGCCCCTCCCACGGTTTATTTCAGAAACCGTTAGAAGGTGCTTCATCCATTCGTTCCTTTGCATCAAGTCATCTCAACGTGAGCCTTCATATCAAATCCAACTGCAGAAACTTGGATATGTAACGCTCCGCTTATTCCCTTTCCTCAACCTTCACAACTTCCCCTACCTCAGCAATTACAGCTCCTGGAACCTAAAGGCTAAACCCAATCACCCCTACCACTCGCTATCTTTCTAATTCTCTCACTTCTCCCACCATTCAAAGCTCTGTTCAATCCACAACCTAAATCACAAACACCACCCTCCACAGCGTTGACCCTCAATTTATTCTTATAAATCTCCCAAAAATTCTCTTCCAAACCCGGTATCCACTGTCTAGGCATCTGATCTCCAAACGCCACTTTCTTTCCCTTCTTGTCTCCTTTCCCTGCATATTCAACATTAAGCGCCGAGAAAGGATTGTTGAGTTGCATAGCGTGCCAGTCACTTGGGCGATGTGCATCTGAGTTTGGCTTTGCTCTTACGATAGGAGAGTTACAGGATGGGGAAGCGAGAGAAGCGCCTCCTGATCCTTCTTGGTCGTCGGAATCAGAATCTGAGTCATAGTCTATCTCGCTATAATTTACCCGGGTTCTATTTTCCTCCTGATTTAGATCTGTCTGTTCAGCATAAAGCTTAGCGGATAGTTTGACGAATAGCTCGGCTGTCATCCACTAGATAACTAGTGAGTTAGTATTCATTAGGAAGATTGGTTGGAAGGATAAAAAATGCTATTTTGAGAGGTTCAAATATATTTAAATCTTATAAAGAGTGTCTAGGTTTATACTTACACTATCAAAGCCGGCTTCATGAGATTTGCCATTGACGCCGCCGTAAGTATTATGCTTTTCGTGGAGAAGGATGAGAGGCATATGTACTTTTTGAAACTAGAACATTTCAAAGTTAGTTTTGCCAATAAAGGATAAGGGTTGGGAAGTGTAAATGATACGGAGTAGGAAACATTTGATGATGTTTGCATGTCGGAGTAAAGGAACGGTAGTACTGACTGGAATCAACAGCTCTTTGAGGTTGACACGAGGATTCATAGCATCACTATTGTAAGTGGCCAGATACTTTGTATCAATAACGAAAGGAAAGAGCGAGTGAATTTGAGATTGAAAATCTCCTACACCAGCTGGGAGAGTGCCAATGAAGGTTTTGTATAAAAAGCAAAGGTCAGTAAATAGGTTGTGACCGACAATAACATGTTGCTTTTTCTTAAGCGTCTTAATGACTGCAGCAAGTTGAGATTCAAGAAAAGGCCGCGAAGAATGGTGGTTAGGTTGCGTGTTTTCATCATCCGTGTATAACCACATCGGGTCGATACCTGTTAGGTCACCACCACAAAGTGCTTCGAAAATGAATCGTGCCCCAGATTGTTGAGCGATTCGCTGATTGAATGTTTTCAGTTGCTCGATTGTTTTCTATACATTATTAATAATGCCGATACCCGGTATAAATAAGCTGGGGGTAGGGTGTACGTAAAGTTGTTCAAAATTCCATGCAATAAGCCAGCCAAATGAGATGAATTCAACATACCTTTGCTTCTCTATCATGATCAATCATTTCAACCTGCATGAAAGATCCTTCCAACCGAGCAAAGCATCTGTACTGAGGGAATTCACTACGGACAAGCTGATGAACTAATCTTCGCTGGAAACCATTTAAAGGACCTTTGGGATTATCCACATTGACGGAGGCCATCTTCGGCTAAATGATATTAGCAAGAAATTAGGAACAACATTTTACAATATCCATAAAAGTACTGCATTTTCGGAAGCGCATTTAGATGTAAAGGTTGACAGCTGATAGCGATACCACTGCTTACAGCACTTATGTCCAGCCCGAAAATTGAAATGAAATATCTTGTGGTAGAAAGTGGTTGAACAGTAAAGGGTATACTAAGATATAACAAATCTCACTTACCTCTTTTGCCTCTATCCATTCCGTGATAGTCGATCTAGCTCTTCGATAGAATTCCAATGTTCCAACATCACTTGGATCAAAAATAATACTGGGAATTGATGCATTTCTCTCAATTCTCTGATCGTAACGCTCACGAGCCTCGGCCTCTTCCTGCTCCGACAAGTAAGGAACGCCTTTGGTGAAGACTGCACCAATGTCGAAGCCATTGGATTGAAGGAAGTTACTAGCAGAACTAGAAAAACAGAAGTTGCGATCAAGATCGAAGACTCTATCGTAAATCAATAGTGGACTAAGGTTGATATTGTATGGTTTAGCAAGATAATAATCTAGAATTTGTTAGCATCCAGAAATAGTTTGGCGAACAGGAATATTATGCGTGCCCTTGTCACGGTCTTCTTCAACACAAGTGATGCCAATTTGAAGAACTTGGAAAGTCTCGGCGGCATCCTTAACTTCTTCGTATTGTTGTTGAAGACTGGGTTTTCCGACATCATGAGTTCGCTCCTGGTTACTATGCTTTGGTCGTGTAGTAATACCGCTCATTTCTAGATCGAAGGACACAAAGGTGGCATTTGAGATATCCTTCAGAATTGGAAGCAAAAGCCGTTTCCAATTATCTTTGTCAACCTCCATGATGACAGTGATTTAGTGTGAAAACTTGAGGTTGTTGGTTGATGGTTGCTTGCTGGCTCTTGATTAAAAGAAGCTATATTGAATTTGGGAGTTGCTGCATAAAAGCGGAGTTGCCAAAGTTTAGAGGTAAGGTGAATCTGATTATTGGTTTTGCTCAAGAATTTTCATCTTGAGTGAAGTTAAAACCATGAAGATGTCCGCAGATACCTCACAGGTTGATAAGGTAAAAGATATGGAAGTTAAGCTAAAGAGGAAGGCGACAAGATGATTGACAAAGGTTGATCTTGTTTGTATTTCATGTTTTACCTTGGAGACATTCCCTAGGTTTCTATCGTCTAATATTTATGATTGTTCCTCATCGTCTTGTATTGTCTCAAATGTATAAGTGTATATGTAAGTGTGTGTGTGTGTGTATTGGTTGGTAGTATATACGAGTATATAGACATAAGATCAAACCTCACTTGATTGCTTCACTGGTAGGTATTGTGCTGTCTCGTGCTGATCGTGAAGTGAAGTGTGAAGTTATTAATGCATGAATTATCCATTCACATACTTATGTAAGCTCTTCATAATTAATTTCATTAATGCACCAATCACATCAATCAACACACCGCCCCATGCTCAATCAATCTACTATCTTCCTAAAGTATTGGACCGAGGCTTTAACATTTCCCTCGTTACATCCTTCATACTCCGTAGACTCTTTCCAAATGTCACAAGTCCTTTAACTTTCATTTCTTCATTCCAGGACTTTCCCTCTAATAAACGTCTTCAATTTCCTTCGCTTTAATTCATCGCTTTATTTTCAATTCTACAACTCTTTCCTTTCAACAACCATGGCTTCCCATGGATCGATCACGACTATCAATCCAATAGATCAGGTATCTTCACCACATATACTTTCGTCGTCGCATTCATCCCTTTCTCATTCCCTTTCATCATCCCGTCGTAGTTCGCAAATATCAAAGACTTATCGTCAAGCTTCGACTCTCTTTCTCACACGTCGATTACCCGAATCGCTTTCAACTATCTTACCAGTAATTACACCGTCCTCTTCTTCCGACACGGAAAATACCACTCCTGATGATCCCGCCAAATCTTCGGCTCCAATATCAAAGGCGTCTCGTACTACTCGTATCAAAGTCTGGAGTCTGTACCTTACAATATTGAATGCGATTCTTGAATTGGATCCAGCAGAAGGAAAACAAGCATTTGGAACCAGTCAATTTAGAGCACTGGTCGCAAAGGTCAGGGACGGAGAAGTTTGGGAAGAGGTAGTGAGGAACGGATATCACGGAATCGAAGGAGATGTAGATTCAGATGTCGTTATAAACCTGTTCGTCTTCCTCGTATACTCTGAAATCCCAGATATCCCTGTTATGAAGGAAGAAACTAATAACATGATAGAGCAACTCTTCTCCTAGCCCATGCTCGTTCCCAAAAGGTTAATCAGACTCGCCTCGAGACTTATCTCGCAACATCCGATACCATATCCCTTTCTATGTCCCAATCCTCTACACCTACCACCTCAAATCCATTTCCAGGTTCTAAACGTCGCTCCCAGCCCGAAACAGATACACCAAGAGATCTCAACGCCCGAGTCAAGATACTAGAACTCTATACTCTGCACGTCTTACTTCGAAATAATGAATGGGATTATGCGAAAGAATTCATTACCATTAGTGAAGTTTTGGATGACGAAAGAAGAGAGGCTTTCCTCGGGGCCTTACGAAGTCTCAAGGAGGAAAGTGAGGAAGGGGAGAGAAGAGAAAGGATGGAGAAGGAATACCGAGAGGAACAACTCAAGAAAGATATAGAAGAAAGCCGACGTCGACGAGAAGAAGAAGAAAGGAGACGAGAAGAAATTGCTAAAAAGGCCAAAGCAAGTGCAAGGGGAACCTCAGAAATCGACTTTGGAGTTGAAGACGAAGCTGCAGCTATGAACAACGGATCCGTAACATCATCCTCAGCACCCAATAATCCTCGACAATCCAAAATCTCCAAATCATCAAGCACCAAACCACACTCTCGGAAATCAATAGAAGAAAAGAAACAGAAAACCATGGTAGAAAAAATGGGAATCATAATGCGTAATTTGAAATTAGTACTGGAAAATATAGGGGGAAGTCTTAATTTGAAGAATCCAATGGTAATGTTAAGGATGGTAGCTTTCGTTATTGGAATACTAGTGGTTTTTGGAAGGAAGGAAGTTCGAGAAAGAACAAGGAGGATGATGAGTGAGGGATTGGGAAGAGTCAAGAAGACGATTGGGATGGGGGTTAAGGTTAGTTATATTTAATGAACAGGAAATTGGCTCAAAGGCAAATAATCGAGGTGGAATTTCATCTGTGGTTCCCATTTGTTGGAAGGGCAGAGAAATGGATGTCATGGACCACGTTTTCTAGCATGATTGGATTCAATTCGGGAGTCTTCTGGTTAATTCACGCAGAGACTGGCTTTACTTGTATTTATATTATGAACTTGATTTCTAGGTGGTGGAAGAGGAAAGGGGGTAGATGTTATGGATACCTAAGAAGAATATGTAGCAAGCGAGGGAAATTTTAGGGAGAGGAGTGGAGGAGTTTACTTTGTGTGAGATTCATTTGTTTTGTAGTGGTGAATGCAGAGAAAGGTTGAGAGGAGAAAAAGGGAAGAGAAGAGATATGAAATAGCGCTTATTCGGAATACCATTCTATGACATGTCATACACTTTGCTTTGATTTTCTCTGATCGTGTAACACTTTTTTCTTATGTCTCATTTGAGGTTTGTCGTTTGAGGTTTGACAATCAAGTTGTCTTTTAGTAAGATCTTACTAGATAGATTTACGTGCATAGTCAGTCATTGGATATCTCATATAATCTTACAACTTATGGCCATGCGACGCGATATCATGAATGATGATAGCCCTACAAAGCTATTCCAAACCATCCATCGAACCATCAAAATCGTATAAAAGTAAATCGAGGCCCGCCTGAAATGAGAATATATAACTCTCTTCCCCCTATCTGGGTAGATACTAGATAGATATCTCGGATTCAAGTAATTAAATACCTCCCTCCTACACGACAACAACACCAATAGGAAGCAAGCTTGACAAACTAATCTCCTAATACCTACCTACCTAGTAGATAGACAAACACTTTTCGTCACATCACATCACATATCATTGTATCATTCCGATATGATGATGATAATGATGATGATGATTCCGAATTCTATCCCGTTAGCAGCCAGTATTTTACTCACTAGCTTCGGGTTTAATCTATAGTCTACCCACTGAAAAAAAAAATATGAGAAAGAAAACGGGAAGTCTTATTTGAGCGCAACACGATTTTCGTAATTCCGAAACTTTTTTTTTTCTTGCACGTATTTATTATTGTGATATTCTTAATATTTATTAGATAAAGTACCTAGATTACTAAATTTAAGTATTTATTTATTATTTATTTATTACTCACATCCATATCCATATCCATTCACCACGAATTCGTTGTCACCGCCACGAATGTAATGGCAGCACTTACAATGACGTCCACATCATCAAGTCGTCCCTGGGCACTAGAAGCTCGCTCCAATACCCTCTTACCTGCCTCGCCACCGTAGCCATAGGCATGTTTACGCGAT